CAGATCAATTGTTTAGAAGGTTTATGCAGATAAAGGGTGGGGGGCATAAAAGAACTTCTTTCAAGAAAAATTATTAAAATGTCAACAAAGTGAAGCTGGTCATTACTAAAGGCATAAATGAATAATACAGTGCATACATTCTCATGCAGTCATTCCAAGGTTTACTGGATTATTTTTCTCATCTGAATTAATTTTTGCAATATATCTCTCATTTCCAACATCCATAAACAAGTTTATAGTGGTGAAACACAGTAATTTTTTGCTCCTATTGAACATCTCAAAGTAGAGAAGTTTTCCTCATGATACAGGGGAAAAACTCAAATTAGTGAAAAAACTTTGAACATAGCATATCCATAGCTCTCCCTAGCCAACAATTGATGAAATTGTCCAAATACAGTGCTAACAAATGTCAGAACAAGCTTACCTCATTGTCAACACCTGAAGGATCAGGGAGAGAACCAATTGAGAGTTGAAGCTCACCAGTTTGTATCTTATGTCGTTCATATTCTAGAAGTGCCTAAATTGAGAGGGAAGATAAGATGACTGAATGTATTGAAACTATATGAATAAAAAATACAAATAACTAATACATCATTATGTGAATAATTTAAATCACCAATTCTAATATCTAATTTGATTTTCCCACAAATGCCCGGAGTAAGAAACAAAATGGATACGTTGAATGTGGAATAAAAGATTCAAAATGTGATCATGAAATTCATTTATTCATATTTCTAGACTTATGTTATCAGATGCAAGTAGAAAATATGAATCAAATCATTGAAGGTAAAGAATGTAAAGGTTAAGGAAATTAACATAAAGATACAAACTAAATACATTGGCTGCTACTGTTACTATTTATGTAGTTCACCAATTCATCATGTTTCAACAAACCAATTGCATATTCAAAACTGAAGATTTATATTAGAATGAATACTTGTATCAATATTCATGCTTGTAGATGAAGTTTTTCCTTTGCAAAAAAAAAAAAAAAAAAACACTAAGAATTCCAGGGGTAAGTAAAGTTGATCATATTACCTTCTCATAGAAAATGCGAAATGTCCACGAAACTGTTGTGCAAGTCCTGTTTGACAAAAATTATGATATCATTAAATTTGAAGATGCAACAAGAACAAAAAACTAAAAAATAGAAAGCTAAACTTTAAACCATTGGTTAATTCTGAATAAACTAGCAAGCTAAGATTCTAAGCTCTTTCAATCACTAGTATTAAAATATATATTGGAAATATGATACTCCAAATTCTTCTACAAAGAAAAACACTAAAGTTTGACGACTTTAAGCCTTACAAATGATAAGAATAGTGTATGGTTCACAACCATTCCACCACTTTAAACTAAATTGAATTTGTTGTTTTTCAAACATATGATGGCAACATTAAAAATTGGATGGGAATCCTCTGTTTTATTTATTCTGGGCTTCCAGCCCAGACCATGAAGAGGTTCTACAATTTAATGAGCCAACACAGAATTTGGTTACACAAATGAATATGAAAAGGTTTCAATTGCTACTTGGTGTTCAGTACAACAGAAAAGAATGGGGTTTGAACTCCTGACCCTAGGTCTAAGAGGCCTCCCTCTGAAGTTCTCAATGGTACTTACTTGGGGGGGTTGAAAGACTCACCCACTTGCCGCCACAACTTCGATCCAGTCACCTATCAAAACCCAGACACAGCAGCTTAACTTTATAGCATCTCAAAGAAAACTTTACACAAGTTTGAGTTCTTCTTTCAACAAATTAGGTCAATCATGCAACAAAACAGAACACATAAGCAAGTTCAAGCCAGTTGAATATCAAGAATCAAGGCATCAAAACAGAAAAGTTACAAGATTATAACCATGTGCCAGCCAATAAAACCCTTCTGGGGAAGTCACCCAAGAGAAGAACACTTTAAGGTTTGCTATGCATAATATGAAAAATAGCCATGTCCACGTAGCTTAGTGAAGCACTTCTTAGTTATTGCTTTTATTAGTACTACTAGTAGTCTTGTAAGAAAGTGAAATAAGGATTCACAAATATAGGCATAATTCCTGGTAAGATAGCCCAGTTTACTAGAAGAATAAACCCAATGCTCATTGCAGAGATTATCCAAAGCCAAGCACCTCAAGATGAGATACATTCTTACCCGATCATAGCCACCCAGCCTGATTACAGCTTTCCATAACCTAGAATCCAGGAACAAAAATGAATAAATAGATCATTAAATTATTTTAAACAGATGAAGAAATATGCACAATCACAGAGGTACTTACTTCAGGCAATTCAGTGGCTGCCCATAAAACCTAGGTGGTTTAAAATCCAGTGATCTCTCCCGATAAAAATTTTCAATTTCTCTCATAAAGGCTGCTTGATCTTCTGGAGTTCCATCGTCCTCGTCATCATCATCAGCATCATCATCCATCTAAAAATTAGAGTAATAAAATAGTAACATGAAAACCCAGGGTAGTTTACGTTTAACATCCACATGGATATATAATGTAAGCTTCCAAGACATTTTCTAACCCCCCCCCCCCCCCCCCCAAAAGGAAAAAAAAATTCCCCAGAATTACCAAACTTACCCCACTAATCAGATACTGCTATACATACCTTGACATAACCAAACTTATTCTTGCAGGTTTCCCCACTAATTTGTCCAGATTTTCCTGCTGAACATTTCACCAGTGTTTGTGGAGTTACAGGTTCTTGCAAATTTACAGGAATGTAATTAACTTTCTTTTTGGTTTCTGAAGCTTCACCCAGACTAGCATCATTAACACTAGCAGAAGTAGTTTTGTCCTCAGGTTCCTTCTTTTCTTCAATCATCATCTCATTTCCATTTTGGGGAATGTCATTCTCACCATCATGAGCCAAACCTCTAATTCCTCCTTTCGTGTCCTCAGGTGCCTGATTTGTGAGTGGTTCATCGGGCAGTTGGGCATTTTCCCTAAGGGTTTCTCCCTTTGCAGCATCATCATTTGGTTCTTTGTCCTCCAAGGCCTCACGAGTGAGAATTTTGTCCTCTCCATTTTCAGTTAAATGTGGCTCTTCTTTTTCACCCATTATAACATCCTTTGAGTCACTTTCAGCAATGTTTTGGTCCCCTGAGTCATCTCTTGGTTTACTTTGGTCATCTGTGGCTGCATTCGTTTGATCCTTTACCTCATTTGCTGCATTGCTCTTGTCATCTGCCTCATTCATTGAATAGCAATTGTCCTCTATCTCAGTCTTTGCAGTGTTCTGCTCTGTCTCATCTCCAGCCTCTCTTTGACCCTCAACATTAGCCTTGCATTGGTCTCCTTCCTCATTCTCTGCCTTACTTTCATCACTGTCCCCAGTGGTGCCATCTTGTTCATTCTTTTTGTCCTCTGCCTCTGTAATTATTTCATTATGCTGCTGCTCTAAACCACTGGATTTTGGTTCGTCCACAGAAGCTGAGGGAGGCAATTCTGCTCCCTCAGGTTTCAAATCAGCATCAACTTGTTTCTTATCCAGCCCCTGCTCGTTTTTTCCAACACCCTGTGACTGCATTTCAGTGTCTTCTATTTTTACATCATTGTTACCCATTCCCATACCTATTTTCATACAGTGGGTACATTACATGTATCATGTATGAAGAATTTATATGAACAAACATAAACGTTTATATATGGACAGGAAATGAATATCCGCATAAAAGTCAGAATAATGCAAAAGGCTGCCAGATCATGCAGGTCAAGCGAAGGAAAAGAGTTTTGTACACGTGGACCCAACAAAACAAAAAACACCCAAGTTGGGGCGAATAAAGAAAAAATCATAACAAAATAACAACTGAGAATGTATCTTGAGAAAACGAAACCCTAGTTCCACACGGTGGTCGGTGGAAGAACGAACACGAAGCAATCTGGTGTTTTGTTTTTTGTTTTTCGTTTTTCTGTTTTAACTCTTGAGCGTTTAAGCGCAACAACACTGCGAGTCTCATTGAACATTGGAATTTGGAAAGAAAACATATCTCCGGCTTACCACTCGGAGCGAAAAACAGTAGATATTTATGAAAACAAATGTGGACATAAAACACACATGCAAAAAAGAACAGAAGGAGATACCTTGCCAGAGTGTCGAGCAAAGCTTGGATCAGTTGGGGGGAGAGCTGCAATGGCGTGTAGGGTTTTTTTTTTTTTTTTTGATTTGTATTTTCAGGTTTGAGAGTCGGAGTAGAAGTAATTGTGGGTGTATGAACGGCAGAGAAGAAAATCGGTGTGCGAAAAAAAAATGTTAAAAAAAAAAAGAAGAAAAAAATTTGGGGGGAGGGACTAAAAAGGAAAACGCATGGTAATGGGTTAGGAGTAGTTTGGATGGATGAAGACGACAACACCGGAACAGAAGAGAGAAACAGAGGCAAGCCTCTCTCGGCTGCTACCGCTGCGCTTTCCCTTGTTCAAAACAACACCTTTGGCTCTACCGATAAAACGCCTTGGACCCTCGACGGACTCCACTGCCCCAAGGAATGTCTACTTTAACCCTGATTTTTGGCTTTCTACTCCATATTGATGATATTTTGAGGACACTCTGGTCTTTGCACCGTGGTTTTTTAAGGAACCAGTTAAGTAACCAGGACTACACTAAGATAAACCAATAGATCACTTTTGTTGGGAGTCGAATTTGTAACTTTGTAATTATCAAAATGTCAGGAGTTTTAATTTTTGTCAAAACTTCTTATTGGTCAAATCTATCATGCACACATAAACAATGTTTATTTAGTGTACATCCTCGATTTTTATAACCATTATTATTATATGAGATACGCAAAATAATGTAAGATAAACAAATTAAGAATGAACTTTACTATGTGTTATTAAACTCAAATAATTTATGATATGTATATATTTAATATTATTTCAACCTTAATTGATTTATAGATAATATTCTTATAGGGTAAAACAAAATTATTCAAAGATTAGGTTTCCATATAACATAATTAAATATAAAGGACTAGTCATGGAGGAAAACATGTGAATAAAAATAATTGAACACAATACAATGAGCAATATATTGTGAATAAAGTATTGATAAAACCGTACTACATTCATATTATAATTATAATTATAATTTAAAAAATAACACTTTTAAAACTATATATGATGACAACATTGCTATAAATACGGGTGTGTTGGGCTTAAAGAAGAGCAAGAGCGGTGTGGCATTGCTGAAGTCTAGTTGGAGGCTTCATGTTGGATTAAGTATGACACTATTTCATTAATGTGTTTGTCTGAGCTCCCTCCTTCATCTATTGCTTCCTTAGCCAACTCCTTCCAACGGAGAGCATTCTTCTTAATCTCTTTACTCATTTCCCCTTCCAAAACTTGTTGAATGCATTTACTTATTTCTTCACTCCGAGTGAACCCCTTGTCATCTGCTACAGCACCCATTCCCACCTTCCAAACTTTTTCTACCAAATGTGTATTAATCATTTGGTCTAAAAATTGGGGCATTCCCACTATGGGCACCCCAAAGCATATGGCTTCCAAAGTTGAGTTCCAACCACAATGAGACACAAAGCATCCCACTGCATCATGAGCTAAAACCTCTAGTTGGGGGCACCAACTTGCTATGAATCCCTTACTTGATGTTTCCTCGATAAAATTATGGGGTATCTTACTTTGTTCGGTAGGTTTCACAACCCATAGGAAGTTGGCGCAACTCTGTTTGAGAGAAGCAGCTATTTCTGACATTTGTTCTGCACTTAGCAATGCAACACTTCCAAATGACACATAAACAACTGAACCTGGCTTCTTGTTGCTAAGCCACTCCATGCATGCACGAGAATCTAGCTTATAAGTATGGAAGCCATAGTCGTCGTCATTTTCCACTCGTTTGTCCAGGTGAAAAGATGGCACAGTAGGTCCTATAGGTTTTACAGGCCAAAGCTTAGCCATCCACTCAACAACCTGCTCATGGAAGCAAATCCATTTTCTCTATTCTCAATAATGAATGAATGCATGCATATTGAATTGAGAATATGAGCAATCAGAATCAGCAATTGAATATACTAGCACTGCAATAGTGTAATTTACCCAAGGAAAATGGGAAAATGATAGTCATTGTTTAGCATGATTAAGGAAAACGGAACTTAAGATCAATCAAATATCTCCAGGCACATATAGTTCCTCTATATACTTTGTATACATACAAATAGTTTACCTCACCTCTTCTTCCAGCTTATCAAAGGAGTTCATCAGGACCCAATTAGCCTTGTGAATGTTGTCAAACTGTCTTAGTAAGTGCATGATTATTGGGGGATAACGACCATCAATAGGACCGAGGGATGGCACGTGTGGAATTCCAAGTTTTGGCAATCCAATCAGTGGAAAAGCATATTCTGGCAAAGGCGTTCCAGATACCTCACAATACATAGGATAGTAGCTGGCAGCCGCAGCACAAGATTGAGTGAAAAATGCTGCACTAGCGATTTTGAAATGGGATGCTATGTCTGAAGCCCATGGAATGTTAGCATCATATACAAGGCACTTTACCGGATATTCACTTCTATCCTGCTGTGCAATGAAGTTGCTGAGGTTTTTAGAGCCACTTACTTGAAATCGATCAAGGAATCCTTTAAATCCTCCCAGTCCAGCAACCCCACCTTCAGTGCAATCATCATACACAGATAGGAATCGAAGAGAGCCAGAACCAAAAACAGCTTGCAGGGCCTTGGTGTTGGAGAGTGTGGTAGCCACAGTAATTTTGATTCCCTTGGAGGCTAGCCGTTTAGAGAATTGGACCATAGGGTTTATGTGGCCTTGTCCATGATATGCAAGCACCACAACATGAACATTAGCTCTACAACCTCTCTCTTCTTCCATGGCTCAATCTATCCTGTCTGAGTTGAAAATTTCCAAGACATAGGTTTACAAGAGCCTGCATTTTTTGGACGTATCCATTATTTTGACGGAACAACCAAAGATTATATAAGAATAATTTATTTTACCTTTAAAAATTGCAATATTCTATCCAAATGTCAATATCTGGTACTATTGTATTGACAAATACTCATATCCCCAAGCTTTCTTCTAGACGCTTTCTGACTTTTCAAATGGCTGTGGCAAAGCCTTGGGTACCAGCTACGAAGAATTCTATATTGCACCACATACGTAAGATAGTTCGTCACTCACAGGAAATATATTTGCAAATACATTGAGAAAGAAAAACAAACCAACATAGATCAACCTTAAAATGGCTAAAGCTGAATCACAGGATCTGCTCCTAGCTGAGAATATTCCAGAAATTAACTTCATAGCTAACACTGTACACTTCTTCAACTCCTGGAGTGAAGGGTCCTAGATTTCAACAACCATTAACAGCAGTGTTCAATTAATTAATGCACCGCAATCTGGCTATACAAGTTTGGTGGTATAGAAGAGCAACAAAACAACTCTTTACAAATCAAGGGCATCCCAATTATTTTAACCAAAAAATAAAGAAGTAAAAAGTTCTCTTATTAAAGCAGAAAAATAAGAATCCTTCCTCATCCCGCAGTAACAATTCATGAAATTACTTCGCAACTCAAAATTACAGGGGTCAAAAGACAGTAACTAAAACTAAAGATACGTTCCACACCATAACCTAATTGTTTTGCACCTAAATTGATATCCAACAAAGGTGCAGTCTAGCAGCAATAGAGCCACAAAATTTCTGAGATAGACCAATAGTCTGCTCTTGCTTAGAAGTTTGTGTTACCACCATTTGACATAACTGAGAGAATATTTGTTACAGAAGCCATGGCACTTAAAGCTGCTTTCAGCACATCCTGTGAGCAACCTGGTTTCACAATGGTGCGTACCTGGAAGAAGAAAAACATATACACATTAACAATCAAATTGCATCAAGCAACAGGAGATGGGGAAGTAACTTTGCACAAATACGTCCAAGTGTAGTATTATATGTCTTGGGTGATAAGAAGCAAGGAAATGCCAGCACCTTATCAAGATATTCCTGCAATTCCTTGATCCGGCCCATGTAATCCTGGTCCTCAACACAAAGGATTAAAGCCTTTGCATCAGCACCTGGGCCATCAAACTGAAGAGGTCCAGGATTCCTGTAGACATCGTCCAACAAGAATTTTGTGGCATTCTGTCTCAGAAGCCTGCAACAAAGTCAACCCATAACAAAACACATCAAATATTGAACACAATCTTTCATTTGTTGAAATTCTGAGAAGAAGACACCTTTCACATCAGCCACAAAAATTCTACCCTTTTAAATAACAGGATCATAAAATGAAATTGACATACTCATATGCTTTGCCTCTTAAATCAACAGTAGCAGGATGAAGAGCAGGCTTCCCAAAGGAATCAGCAGCAGGACCATGACCATAACGCCTGACAGTCATCATAGCCTGCAGTCACAAAATGGTCTTTCAAAACCTTAAACAATGCATGCAATAAGTACAAAACTTAAGCGAAAAGAATTAGGGAGAAAAGTTCCTATTTCCCAAGAAAATATAGCACGAAACTTACAGTTATTGGAGCAGCACCACAACGCCACTTATTCACAGGATTCTTCAGGTTATTTAAAGTTGCCAAGTAACCATTCAAGCCAGCAGCCAAAATATGGTAACAGACATGACCAAGCACCTGAAAGTATAACGTACCTTCGTTAAAAGTCCAATTCTATCAAACCAAGAGTAATGAACTACATTATCCAGAAGAAAACTCACATAAGCATAGTCACAATCAAACTTCGATGGCAGTGATCCCCGAGCTTGATAACCAAAGAAATGGCAAATAGCATTGAATTTCTTCCCCTTGTATTTTCCTTCTTTCTGAAGAAACCAAACATCAAAAAGCAACGCACATAAATAGAAAGAATACTAATCAATAGAATTTTTCATTAAAAGCAAATTGTACAGTAATAGTAATTTCCAAGATGAAGTTTCTTAACTTCAAAAACAGAAAGAAAAAATAAAAATTTCCAGTCAAATACAGAATATGTTACGGAGCATGTCACATGATGAAGTCAAATACACAGCTTTCTCACCGTCCGTTTATTCATTTCTTCTTCTACAAGAAAAGCTAGAAGTTTCTCTGTCTCAATCTGTGGAGAAAGCAAAACAAAACCATCATCACATGAGACAAGTTAATCATACAGCATCATCAAGGCAACTTAGATTACCTGAGATAGCTGAGCAGAGTCATCAGATTCTGGATGCAAAAGGAGCTGTAACATTGCAACATTTCAAGAGTAAGCACTATAATATGTTTGAGTGGAATTGACACAACTTGGTTTATGGAGACCCATATCATTTTACCTGCTTCCTGATGAAGGGTGGCATAAATTCAAAAAGTGCAGATGCCCATGGTGACAATTGAGAGGAAATGTTATCAGCACAAACACCTTGTCTGAGCAAACCATGAATTTCCTGGAAATAGAAAATATTAAATACAAATATTCCTGGGATTTCCCTAATCGTTTAGGGAAGAAATGCAATAACCAAGCAAACAAGTTCATGATCCTGGTTTACCTTCAACAGAGCATATACTTCAGGAATACTTTCAATAAGCCCCTCAGGCAATAGGATAACACCATGGTATTTATCTGGACAAGAAATCTAAGTCAGACAGTTTGACACTAAAAACCACAAATAGAAAAAATAACGAAACAATAATAACTGCATGCCTTGTTCAGCCCTGGCCTGCACTGCATCACAAATTTGTTTTGTGATGTCAAAAAGAGTAAGCTTTGATGCAGCTACCTCCTCAGCAAGAATCACCTGCCAAAAAATTTAAAATACTTTGTGGTTGCAAATCATAGAATACTGAGAAGGCAGCATATAATTTTGCAGAGAAATGAAACACAAACCATATTTGGGTGTGATTGTAGAGTGCATTCTAAGGCAACATGTGATGCCTTTCGGCCCATTAGTCTGATGAAATAATAATACTGCAAAGGGAAAAAAGCACGACTAGAAATCAGAGGATGGGCAAAACATAGATTAAAGATATAAACCATCTACTAAAAGAAAGACATCATGACAGAGTCTTTCAAAAATGTGACAAAGCTTTGAAAACCAGGCTTTTAATCCAGACTCAATGCAACAAGAAAAACATAAGCAGCCATTACCTTCTCCGCTGAGAGTGCATCTGTGCAGACATTGCTAATAAGCTGGGAATTAACCTGAAAAACATCAAAGCACAAAACAAATTTAATTTGTTTTCTTCCTGAAAAGTCATTTAGTTCCACATGACCTAAGAGCAAAAGAGTAAAGATGAAAACAAAATGTACATGCAAACAAACTTCATTTATTTTATTATGTTTTTTTTTATGTTTTTTTTTTTTTGGGGGGCGGGGGGGGGGGGGGGGGGGGGGGGCGGGGATGAGAGGAAAACAAAATGTACACAACTTGGTTTGTAGAGGCCCATAGGGCCTATATTTGTCCATAATGCTTCTACAGATGTCATCAACAGATAAAATATGCTAACCAAGGAAACATCCAAAATGCAACATATCAAAGAAAAGGGTCAAAAGTACATTAAGATGTATATCATCATCTCTGTGAAACATGGTTCCATATATATCATCTCTCAACTTGACAAAAATAGAGGTTAATACCTTGCATATAGTATCAAAACCAACATTTGTCTCAACAAACTGATTCTTTAGATCTCCATTTAATGTGACTGGAACTCCAACAACCTGAATGAATGTAGCAATCAATTGTTGCTGTGATACTTGTATAACTAGAAGACAAGTAAATGAAGCTTCAGCCTCTCAAAGAAACTACAGAACAGAATGGGGTCATCATTAACATAAACAAAGTTCAGTTAACAGGTATATACATGCACACATGCATAACTGTGCATATATTAACATACAAAGGAAATTTTTAGTAAAAAAATTGCCTAAAGCAAGACATACTTTTGTTGGGCATTTAGCTTCAGCAAAAGCTTCTGCCAGATAAGCAGCATCTGTGTTTGATGTTACTCCTATAGAAAGTGACAACACATATTAGAGAATTGAAGAGTTGTATATTAAAAACATCATTATGACCGTGAGAAGTAGCACACATCATGAATACCTCCAACAATAACAAGGCCATCCAATTTCAAAGATGTACAAGCAGTCAGTGCAGCATTAACTTGCTCAGTTGATCTGATTTGATCCTTTGTTCTTCCCAGCATATCATAGCCCCCTTTACAGGATAAAATCGAGAAACTGTAGACAAGTCTATACACCAAAATACCTAAATATTAAATCTTGAAAGCACAATTGATACCTTGGTTTTTATAGGTAGCCAGAATATCATCAGTGATTTCAAGTGTTTTCTGGGCAAATAAACCTTCAGAACCACCTGAAGGAATCATTGTAATCAGCTTTAGCAATGTGCATACATAACTACAAACAAGCACATATAGCAAAATTCTCAACAATAGAAGTACATACACTCTTAAAGCTACAGTAAAGAAACCATACCCAAAAATCCAAGCAAAGTACTATTAGGATTGTGAACTTTGAGAGCATCATAAAGACCCCATATGGCATTATGTCCTCCTGGAGATTGTCTACCACAGAAAACGATCCCCACCCTGTGGAGAAAAAGAAAGGACCAAATCTTAGAATTGCATTATCCTGTTAGTAAGAGGAGAGACAAATGATATCCATCTAAGTAATGGAATGGCCAAGAAGCCAAGACAGAATAACATAATCATCAAATTGATACCTAATTGCTGGGTGCTCAGTAATTATCTGAGCATCTGGGACCTTGGCACTTGCCCTCAGAAAATGAGCCAAAGGCTGACCGAAAGTATGAGGAAACAAGCGACTTATGGTATGTCCACCAGAGGGATCTGCAGCAGTAGTTGCATCACCAAACTCCACACGGACAGTAGTGCCCTATTGAAAATGCAAGAGTTGACATATTGTCCCAAAATAAGATCAGATTAACAATCAAATAAACAAGGGACTAAACAAATAGGAAATAGAGGACAGTCAAAAAGAAAGCCCACATCAACTCTTGCAGCATACCAAAAGGAGTATGGAAACACATGAAAATGAAGAATAAAAGTCTAATAGCAACAACACCAACAAACTTGAGCTCAACTGTTGTACATATAACATATTAAACCTAATAATCTAGTTGGGCAGGGTTACATGTATTTTGTTTCAGTTCAACTCTATTAAGCATTAAACCCCTAGTAGGCCTTTCAGCTAGCTTATCTTTATTAATTCTAGAATTATTATTCCCCATGACAGAAACTTCAAATAAGAAAACCATCTGGGTGCATGGGAAGGATAATTGAAAAACCTAACCAATAGGACAGTGTTCTTCTCAACTTCTCAGAAATGTTAAGTAGAGTTAATTGTCCAATCAAAACAGGTAATTCACTCAAGCCACCAAATAGTGTGGCAAAATATTATTGAAATTCTTAATGTAATGAAAGCATCCAAAAATAAGGTCGTGGTCTGTACAATAAGGTATACATTCTTTAAATTTAAAAAAAAAATAAAATAAAATAAAATAAAATAAAATAGAAATGAAACAGCACAGACTAGGTTAATTAAACTAAGAAAATCAACCAGTACTGCCTAATAACAGATGGAATACAATATGACAACTTCATGACTGTGACTGAATCTGGCATCAAATCACTGACAATCCCAACATGAGAAGACATAAATTGCATAAAAAAGCAAAGACACAACAATTTACAAGCATTAACGCCTCAGATCTACTCTAATGGGCGCTAGTATTAGAGATGCACGATAACGCTAAAGTATGATTAGACAAAATCAATCAGTCCTGTAAGATGTGAACACATCAGTAAGTAAGCCATCGACTGATGGTAATGCGTGAAGCACGAATGTACTAAATCGATAATAATACGGAGTACTATATAGAGGCAAAAATGGAATAGTGTAAGCACAGCTCTGTTGCACATAAATTCTCATTCCACGATAAAGAAAAAACAGTGTAAATCGAGAACGATCCAGTGGCTGAATATAAAAACTGTAGGACTGAGAAAATATGAAGGAATAAGAGATACCTGAAGACAGGGAGGAAGCTCGGGCCGATACTGAGATCGGAGCTTTTGCAGATCAGAGAGTTCTCTCGCCAGTCCGAAGTCCGAATCCATTTTCACTTGACCTTTCTCGCCGCTTTCTGACTCACAGTGACTATCACTTGAAAACTCTGCTTATATATTATTATATATATCTTGGTAGAAGCGGCGATACAACCAACGACCACACTAGCTTCCGGATCTCTTCAGCATTTGCCCTTAATTATCTATATTATTACACTATTGCCACGAGGTAGGTCCGGAAATTCTGAACCTGCCCTCAACGAAACAGGTACTCGTTTAAACTCATTTAATCGTATTATTATTTTTTTGAGTAATATTGAATTGAATTAAATGTAATAATGGAAAATGTATGAAAAATAATTTATAATATAAAAATTGAATTATAAAGGATTTAAACAAGTCATTATTAGTTGAACATAAAAAATGGACGGAACAATTATTGAATAATCGCAGGTTAACTTTGGATAAATTCCTAAAACTTCTTTTTTCAATGATGAATATATGCATTTACATTTGTTTGGTTGGGGTAGAATAAATAAAAAGATGAAAAGAAATTAGCATCTGAACAAGAATATGCTCAGGGATACCTATGTAAATTCCCTCTAGGGATGTACCACGTTTGTGTCTTCTCACCTACCGCTGCCTACTTCTTTTTCCTTTTGGTTTGTTCCATCGACACTTTTCATTTTGGTTTGTTCCATTTAACACACTGCCTACATTTTTTTCATTTTGGTTTGTTCCATCGACACTTTCATGTATTCATTCCGTGTTAACGGGCTCAATCAAAAAGTTTTAACAATAATTAAATTGTAATCTTTAAATAAAAAAATTATGTTTCATTCACACGATTACTGCTTTTGAGGTCTCACAACTATACTTTTTTTACCTTATATTTAATGGTTTGTTTTTATTGAAGATTTTAAAATTAATTAATTTATTTTCTACTCTAATTCGATTAAAATCACTTGATTTAAAAGCTTGTACCAAACCCGGCCTTAATAGTCGCATTCGGAGGGGGTTGACATGTCTTATTTAGAGAGTGACCACTTCACGCAACAAAAAGCAAGGGATAACTTTATAACTACCGCACAGCTAATCAATATTCTTCTTGCTTACTCCAGCTCTCCACAACACTTGCCAATTTGCCATCTTGGATCAACAATTTACAACTACGAATTTCTCCCTATTTATGTATGGATATACCTGCGGCACCTGTGTCAAAGTGCTTCCTGTTAAGTGCTTTCCTTCACATATTCAGTAACACGAAGAAATGACCATACGCTTATTAACAGAATTCTATGTTTAGGGCCAAGAACATCTTATTGCTATAAGACAACAGATAGTTATAAGTTCACTAAGGGGGGTTGGTTCAAAAGATAAGTTAAACAAGGGAATCAAAAGATAGAACACCATACAAACTCTGAAACTCAACACTACTCTTTAGTTTTTAATGATCACTAACTGGATAATAGAACTGTAGAAAACCCTGCTGAGAAGAATCCTCGACCAATAACAAGGATCCTTAGAAGGATTGATCACCAGGCCAGCATTCCACATACCCAAACAATGGGCACTTGTGCAGGAACAGAAGTGGACTTCATCCTCGATCTTGAAGCCTTGTATCTCTTGCCCATCATGGATTGGATGACCCAAATTCTATTAGTCCTACTTCCCACCTTTCCTTGATTTTTGTTTTCTTGCCCTTCTTGGGGAACAACTCGCAGTGGAGTTGACTGGAGCAGGGGCAAAAGAATAAACAGGCATGTGATGCCCAGGAACCAATGCAGGGAACCCAACAGCAGGGATTCTGCAGAATTCAAACTCAATTAGATCATTATGCAGAACAATATGTATATGTATACTGTGTGTGAAAGTAAAACACACCAAAAAATGATTTTTAATGTAACATGAACTGTTTCAGCAAGAGTGACCAACAGTATAAGGAAATCACAGCATAAATGCTAAACAACAAGTGCATTTAAGATAAGTATAGGTAGGTGAAAGCTGTGTTGAAAATTTACAGACGCAAAAGAAAAAGAAAACAAAATGAACAAGCAAGTATGATGGGCTTACCCAACAGGAGCACAGCAGACTCCTGCATTGGCATGGAGGCACCAACAGCCTTGCTATTCTGCAAGGAAAAACGCAAAGTTTGATTTTCTGCAAGACAATACTGGAGCATTATCCCCAGCCTCCTGCATTCTGACTCATAGTATTTACTCTTCAACTCAAGATCCCTAACATGCGTTTTTTTCCTCTCTCGTGATCGGACCGCTGCATCCCTATTCCTTAGTTGTCTGAAAGAGTAAAATGAACTGATCATTATGACAGCACATTCATGGCCAAAATGGGAACATTAACAAGAAAAGATAGGCCATGTTTGGGAGATAGTTGTTAGCTGATATAACAGCTGATTGGGTTAATTAGAGGGTATAACTAACATTAGTCGATTGTAGAAAGGTGTTTAGTAAATTAACTTATAGCTGTTTGGTATAATTTCTTTTCTTAAAAAGTTAATTAATAGCTTTTTGAATTTAACATTTTGGAGTTACAAAAAGCTAATTAACCTAGTCAAACAACTAATAGTTATCAAATAAACTAATTATTAGTTGATAGGCTAACTATTTTAGCAAATAGGCCATCAAGGCAAACTCTTGGGTTTAAGACACATAATTGCTCTGAGAATAAAGTTGGCAATGAATAAACAACATTTTTTTAGGAGAGGAATACCGCTTGCGTTTCTTTGCGATCGAATCATCATTGTCATCAGCGAGGACCTCGACAGCGTTATCCGCCTTTTGCTGAAACTGGTCAACCCGTTCCACTGTATCCCTCTCCTTTCCCTTGCCATCGTCCTCGACTTCGGAGCCGCTAGATCCTTTGGTATCAGGAGTCCCAACGACTTCTCCAGAATGATCCGATTCCGCAATCCCAACCACCTCCCCAGAAGGAGCCGACGCCTGAGCTGGGGAATCGAGAAGTATTTCTGAGATGAAGTCGTCAGGAGCAGCATCATCGTCCTGCATCAAAATCTCCTCGATGTCCCCGATAGACAGAGGTAATGAATCCGGCGAAAGATTCGAAAACCCCTCGTCCACTGCTGCAAATAAGAAATTGTCGTCATCAAGTAGACGATTCCAATCAAAATCTATGTTTTGCTCCCCTGGGATACTGCCATTATCAACCATCGCACATCGACAAGAGACAAGAGAATCAGGTACTGCAGAGCTAGTACGGATAAAATTGATAGATAACGAAAAGGGTTTCGAGAAAAATCATTTTTGAGGGAGCAATTTATGGAGATGTGGAAGACAGCTTTTCTTCGAGGTGAAGGAGAGGCACTTTCCTTACGACTTCCCTCCGGTCCGTGCTTAGCAAACCGGACCTGTTTCCTTAGTGGTAGAGACTGCGTCATCCAACCAATCAGAAATCAGAATTCAAGACCAAAAACAAAAAAAAAAAAAAAGAATGTGCTTAAGTAAATTCAGAAGTTCCCCTTTTCAAAAAAAAAAAATAAATTCAGAAGTTCCCCTGTATTATTAGATAATTATAGAATGCACTTATTGAATTGTTAAGATTTACGCTAACCTCCCTAATATAGTAATATGGGCAAATTTATATTAACATCTTGTCTTGTATAAAATGAAATACATATTACTAAAAAATATGTTATATCTATCTATGAAAATTTTTGTTTCTTATTGTCATCGTTCATTAACTTTGTCACTTTTAAATATGATTCTTAATAAATAATAATTATATTTCATTACTCAAAAAATAATTATATTTCTCTAATAGACGCTTTAGATAATATTGTTTGTTAAGATTAATGTTGTAAAAATTACGCCCAGGTGCCAATTAATCAGCACCTAGGCGCTAGGCGGCGCCCGACTGCATCGAAGAATGCTGGAATCGGCCTCCTCAACGACCGGGCGCCTAGGCGGCCGGTTAGGCGTCTAGGCGACTGCCTAGCCGTCCGATTTGGTCCCAACGCCAGTTTTTTAAGGGTTATTCGCTCAAAACGACATCGCTTTGAGCGAATAACCCTTAAAGAAAATAAAAATCGCCTCTCGCCAGTGTGAGGCGCCACAGTCTCACTCCTGCGCCTCTCTTTGCCGCTTCGCTAGTCCGTCCCAAGCCCAAACGCCTCTGCCTCCGCCAATTCGCCCGCAACGGTCACCGCCTTGCCTGCGCCACCGCCCACCGGTCGCTGCCTCAGTTCTATGGAAGAATTACCAAGCCTCAACACTACAACTTGATCAGTTCAATATTGTACACCAACAAAAATCACACACTCCTTCCTTGTTGGAGCAGCAACCACTCAACCAGCCTCCGCATAGAATCAGTAAAATATGAACAATAACCAGAAACTTCAGTCATCAAGGAATGACATATGTAGTAGGAATGGTACAGACCTCTGAAACAAGTAGTTAGATGAAGCAATCACAAGTAGAAAAGATATTCAATCTACAAATATACAATCTTCGGTTTACATGAACATACAATCTTTGTACACTTTCTCCGCTTGAATTTTCAGTCAACGCAGAGAACTACATCTTCATTCTGCTCTGAATTACCACACCTGCCTTCCTTCCATCCATCACTCATCACCAATTACAACCTCCTAAGTCCTCATCCTACCAACAATTACTCAAGACTAGATATAAATTTAAGAAAACGACTAGGGAACAACCATCACCAAATCCCCAAACCCCTATGTCATGAAGGCAAAACTGGAAGGAAGTTTATGTGGGGGAAAACAAAACATAACAACAGTCCTAACAAGGTATGCCTAGTTACAAAGAATCACATTTTGTAAAGTATATACTTATGATAAGAAAAACAGGCAGCAAGTATCACTCACAAAAAGACACACACACACACACACATTTTAACAAATTCACACTATCCAAAACAAAAGACATCTTTTGAGTTACTCCAATAACCAAGTGCCCCTTTTTATTCCATATTCCATTAGCTGAGCACAAACTACCATATTTTACCATGATTAAGCCTTTCCAGTCAAACCAAGCAATGCCCTTTATGAATTCAATTTGGGTTAGCTCTATTGCGGCCTAAAAGAGCCCAACCCCCTAAACTATGTAATAGCAACATGATGGATATTCTAAAGTTCAATAAAACAAACAAAACACATCAATATAATGAAACCTGCACATTCCCATTCCTTGTTAGAATTTAGAAACAATAAAGAGCTCCAATAACATTTTCCCTTATTTTCACATGTAACTCTCAAAGAAGTGTTAGATACTTGTTGGATATAGCAGTGCAAAAACGAGTTCCTCTATGTTGGCATCTATTTACTTGACCTACTCACCTAGATAAGCTGATAAGCATGCATTCTCCAGCAGGTGACTTGATAATATTGATGCTCTCATATACGTAAAATAAAAACCACATTTACAAGCTGAGACAGATAAACAAGATCATGTGGAACAAATAAATCTAGAAGGAAAACCATGCATCACAGTAAAAGTGAATTAACAATACTGCGACACATGGTAGTTATTAGGCCACTAAGGACAAGGGTAATGCAAGATGGAGAATACAAATATGGAAGCAATTATACCATGCAACATTTCATTGTTCAGAGGTGAAAACATGTCCCCGCATGTTCTTTGCATTGTTTCCCATGTCTAATATGATTTTGAAAATATTAGCTTAAAAGTTCCTTCTGCAGCTAAATTAAATTTTATAGCAAATCTCACCATATGAATTTCAGTTGATCACATTACAACAAATCAGTATTTAAGTTTACTTCCATCATATTAGAAGCCCAATAAGTTTTCACAGTCTAAAACTGTTCTTGCATGTTAGGCAATTGAAATTTTAAAAAGAAGTAACAAGATCTATTTCTCTGCAGAGACTCGTTCTTGTAAAGAAGGAAGTACTAACAACAGACGGGTTAAGCGGCTACAGTGCTACATTTCATTACAAACAAAGGGCATGAACATGAACATATATATATATATATGCATAGCAAGAAATCAAACAAACACTGAACCATACTACAACAACAAAAATCAGCCACCTTCAAAACAGAAAACCAGGGCAACACTCTCCGACAAAGAAAAGAGTTTCCTTTTTCAATATTTTGGGTTTGGGGGAGATCATCCCAGAGTTCTTCAGAAACATAGAGAAAGGTAGCATTTCAGCCCAAAATAATTAGGAAAGGAGAAAATGGCAAAGAAAGTTTCAATACTAGAAATGGACTAAGAACCTCAGGACTGCCTCTCTTCCTTCTCTCGATTCCATTGCTCGATCCTAGCCCTGCGTTCCTCGCTCCCTTCCCTTATTGGACTCTCATGCCTCCTCCTCCCACTATCACTCTCATGCCTCCCATGCCTTTTCCCAGCTCGAAAATCGTCACGACCACGGTCACGCTCTCGATAATCACGATGTTGTTCACGCCTTTCACGGTCCTTCCGGTAATGCGGGCTTGTGCTCCTGCTACGGCTCCTACTTTTTCTAAACCTGCGGTACCTCCCAAAGAGCTTCCTCCTCAGCTCCCTGCCGATCATCTTTACATGCATGAAGTTACAGTATCCCCCTCGGTTGCAGCTATTCTCCTCGTATTGGCGGCATGTCGCCTCGCGGAAATCTGTCACTGGCGAGAAATCAGCTATGATCGGACGGCCAGAGTAAAATCGACCCTGCAGCGCCTGCAAGGCAGCTGCGGCGTGGTCTTCCTCCTTGAACTGAGCATAAACGTTGCCAATCATGTGGTCGGCGAGGTTGTCACAGACGTTCAGGCTCTCAATCTCACCGAACTTGCTGAGCTCTTCGAAGATGTCCTCGTAGAAATCCTCAAAGTGCTCCTGGATCTTGTGGGGATCGATAGGTTGGCCCTGGGCATCAACGCCAGGCGTGATCATGTCAGGCCGATGGTACATGTTGGAGAGAAGTAGAGTAGGGGAAATGGTGGGTCGGTTGTGGAGACGAGAGCACCGGTCACCGTGACGGCAGGCGCCGATCTTGAAGTAGAAGGGACAGTTCACGCGATCCTTCTCGGTTCCGAAAATCGAAGCCAAATGCTCCGCCATGTCTGGCCTAAATCCGTATGGTAGGGTTTTTGAGTCTTAACCAAATCGCAGAACTGGAAAGATTTTATTTTGAGCTCATTCTGAGATTTAATGAGAAGAAATGGAAGATTTTATTTTAGATCGAAACCCTAATTTGATATGAAATCGGCAAGTGTGAACGATAGAACGAGCTTTAATTGCAGTCCGGGTAAGATGAATTGGATCCAGTCCGGGCCGCCCCACTTCCCTTACTCCGTATAAGTGTATGTACGATTTGCGAAACTTGGCAACGGTTGTATTAGTTCGAAACTTGTGGATTCGGATCTGAGCTCCTATCAACGAGAATATATTTTCTGTATTTGATGAATAATTTTGAAAGTACAAAGAGGGAATATATAGAGATGTTAGATAGAATCCTAGTCAATAATATAGTTCTAGTCTAATATGAATAATAGAATCCTAATACTCTCCCTCAAGCACAAATTTGATCAGCCAAAACATTGAGCTTGGAAGGGAGTAAATTAAAACGTACAGACGAAAGAGACTTAGTAAAAATAGCCTCTATCTGATCTTTGGTAGAAATAAAATAGACTTGTAATTCCTTCTTTGCTACTTTATCACGAACAAAGTGGTAGTCGATCTCAATGTGTTTGGTGCGAGCATGAAACACCGGATTAGCACATTGATAAATAGCACCCAGATTATCACACCAGAGTTTGGGCGCAGAAGGTGGCACAAACCCGAGTTCCTTCATCAGAGAGACAAGCCAAGTAACCTCTGCAGAAACATCAGCGAGTCCTTTTGTATTCTGCCTCAGTTGAGGAACGAGCCACAGTACGCTGCTTTCGACAAACCCATGAGACAAGATTGGTCCTAAAAAACACAGCAAAATTACTAGTAGATTTTAGATCATTAGGATCGCCAGCCCAATCCGAATCAGAATATGCATGAATATCCAGAGAGGAAGAAGGAGTAATTTTAAGACCGAGATGTAGTGTCCCATTTACATACCGTAACACCCTCTTGAGAGCCGCCCAATCCGCAGTAGAGGAAGAGTGCATGTGCTGACACAAACGATTGACTGCATAGGAGAGATCAAGACGAGTTACCGTAAGATATTGCAGAGCACCTGCAAAGCTGCGATACTGGGTGAGATCAGCATATGGCACCACGACACCGATCTCGGCCTTCGCGGTTGAAACCGGGGTGGCCACAGGCTTGCACTCAACCATACCTGCTCGTTTTAAAATATCATTCATGTACCGTTGTTGAGACAGAAGCATGCCACCAGACAACGGAATAGTCTCAATACCTAGAAAAAACGAGGGCACTCCCATATCACGAACTTTAAATTCAAGAGCCAGCTTGCCAATAAGATCAGTCACAAGAGACGTATCCCATGACCAAAATATCATCCACATAGACCAGAAAATATAGACGAGTATTGCCACGTGAATATATAAATAAAGAGACATCAGTTTTGGAAGGTGAGAAACCAACAGAAACCAGAAAATCATGCAAACGCGTGAACCAGGCGCGGGGAGCTTGTTTAAGCCCATACAAAGAACGTTGAAGGAGACAAACGTGCCCGGGCATCGTTTTGTCTTCATAGCAAGGGGCTGGCGCATATAAACCGTCTCAGCAAGGTTGCCATTTAGGAAAGCCTTGTAAATGTCTAACTGTCGAATAGTCCATCCACGAGAAATAACTAAGGATAAGAGAAGCCGTACCGTAGTCGGTTTAACCACAAGACTAAAAGTCTCAAAGAAATCCTCACCGACAACTTGATTGAATCCCTTTGCAACTAATCGAGCCTTGTAACGCTCAACCGAACCATCAGTTTTTCTCTCGGTTCTAAATACCCACTTGCAGCCAACCACATTCATACTTGATTTAAAAGGAACGAGCCGCCATGTATTGTTGTGCACCAAGGCATTAAATTCCAAATCCATTACATCCCGCCATTCGGATAATTTGACTGCTTGAGTAAAACATGTGGGCTCAGTAGTGACATCAGTGGATAGAGCAACACGATCATGCAGCCCCGAGCTCCGCGTATTCATCCCGTGAGACCGAACGGGTGAGGTAGCAGGACGAGATCGACCACGGGGTCGACCTCTCGGCCGAGCAGGAGGCTAGTCCGTGACTGTCCGCTCGGACTCGGTCACGGACGGCTCGGCAGAGGCGGGCTGATCGCGTTGCTGGTCGGACCTGGCTACAGGCACGGCACGTTGATCACCAAAGGCCGAGACAGTACTCGGCTTACCATGAGACACAACCGACGCAACACCCCATGGCTCTGGGCGTGGTGCGGGTACCTGCGAGTCAACAGAAGCAACAAAAAGGAAAGACAGACTCATCGAATCGCACATGGCGACAGCCGACAGATAAAAACCTTGTTAGTATTAGTGTTTAAACAACGATAGCCACGAAAAGATGGGGGATATCCTAAGAAGACACAAGGAGATGACCGAAATTGTAGTTTGTTGCGATTATAGGGACACAGGTTAGGAAAACATAAACACCAAAAAACACGCAAGTATGAATAGGAGGGAGGAGACCGATGCAAGAAATAATGAGCAGATTTATCAGATAAGACACGCGTGGGCATTTTATTAATGAGATACACAGCAGTTTCGAAGGCATAATCCCAAAAACGAGACGGAACAGAGGACTGGCCATTAGCGCCAGTCCTGTTTCGACAACATGGCGATGTTTGCGTTCTACTCTGTCGTTTTGTTCATGAGTATACGCACAAGACTGCCTGTGACGAATATCCAACGACGCGAGAGTCGAACCAAGCTTTTTATATTCTCCCCCTAAATCAGACTGAAAAGATAGAATTTTACGAGAGAAGGAATGTTCAACAAGTGACCGAAACTTATCAAATATCCCATACAAATCAGACTTAGCCCGCATAGGATAATACCACATGTAACGAGTGTAATCATCCACAAATAATACAAAATATTTAAAGCCATTTGCAGAAAGTATCGGCGCAGGGCCCCAAATATCCGAATATATTAATTCTAAAGGATGCGAACTAGTAGGTTCAACACGCGATAAAGGAAAACGAGACGACTTGCCCAATTGACAAGAGGAACAAATATTGGGCAAATCACTGGGATTAAAAGAACTAAGGCTAGACGAGGCTAAAATTTGACGCAAGACCCGAGAGTGTGGATGCCAAGCCGCATATGCCAAACGAAAGAGGATCGTGCAGTAACAAAAGCAGCAGGAGCCGGACGCGAGGTAGGCCAAACATATAAACCCCCAGATGCATGCCCCTTGTAATGTCCTTCACAAAGAAACAAGAAGGGTGAAACTCAAAAAAGACATTATTTTCTTTAGCAAAACGTTGAACAGATAATAACGAAGAAAATAAACCAGGAACATGCAAGACATCATACATACGAAACGACCTAGAATCAGTGGCTAACGAAGTAGAACCAACAGTAACAATAGGCAAATCTGTACCATTGTCGACCCGAAGTGTCTCCAGACCATCATACGTAGTAGAGGACGTCAATAAGGTGGGATCAGGAGTGGCATGATTTGTGGCCCCAGTGTCGGGAAATCACTGATGAGAGTCATCCAAAGAACCTTCAACACCATAAACGGCGACATTCGCCTGAGGATCCGGATCAGGAGTGAAACGATGCCAACATGTCGTAGCTATATGCCCTTGCTTGTTGCAAAGTTGACACCGAGGGCCCGAGTTGGACCGCCCCCGGCCACGGCCACCGCGTCCTCTACCGCGGCCGCCACCTCCTCGGTTCTGCGGATTGCCACCGCGACCACCGCGTCCTCCGCGGCTCACGGCCAAGGCTGCCGGTGCACCGAGAGCCGCGTTGTCATCCAAACAGATCCATTCCTGCGAAACAAGAAAATCCGCAACCTCTGGGAGGGGAACGGGAGCACCGCGGGCTAGGGTTGCCACCAATGGTCGGAACTCCGGGCGTAAACCGCGAAACACGTATAAGTTCTGATCATCCAACTCAACATGACGACCGGTGAGATCCAATTCATCAATCAACATCTGGGCACGACCAAGGTAATCAGATATGGAGGAATCACCTTGACGGAGCCCCTGAAGTTTGCTGAGAAGCCGGAGTGCACGAGAGCGGGTAGACAAACCTAGGGTTTGTTCGATTACCTGCCAAAGCTGCCACGAGGTGCCCTTGCCGACGGCGAAGCGAAGAGTCTCCTCGGATAAAGAGGAGATGAGCATGGAGAGGATGGCTTTGTCTTGCAGGCGCCACGCGAGCTGCCGTGTTGGGAGATCGGAAACCACCGTCGGGGCGCTGTCCGCGGTTGATGCCAGCGCCGGCGATGCCGTCGGAAAGGGTGTAGAACCATTAATAAACCCTAGAAGCCCTTGGCCTTCAAGAAACGGAAGCATCTGAGCCCGCCATAATAGATAATTCCGGGAGGTCAACTTTAACGAAACAAAGTGATGAGTTGATGAGAGGCTACCACTCGCAGGCATCGTAGGAATCTCGGTAACAGTCCATTCAAAGGAACCAAGAACAGAGCCGTCATTAACACCGATATTTTCCATGGAAAAACCTAGCTGATACCAAATGAGAATATATTTTATGTATTTGATGAATAATGTCTGAGAGTACAGGGAGCAAATATATAGAGATGCTAGATAGAATCATAGTCTAACACGAATAATATAGTCCTAGTCTAATATGAATAATAGAGTCCTAATATCAATAACCTCACCACATCCTTCATTAGATAGTCAGGACTCAGGGAATATCGGTGGTTGGTAGGGCGATGTTACCAAGATAGCTGGTTGTATGTGGACACGTGGCAAGCATGCGGGATGCTCGGCATGTGTTATGTTTTCCTTCACTATAAATACCACATTAAATGCAGGGGGACTTAAGGACTTTTAGCCTTTTTCACCTACTACGATATAGTTCGGGATCCTCTAACATCACGTCTCCTAATTATTTAGACTTATTCGTGGCGAACAGTCGTATTTACACTATTAATTTGACACCGTCCATGAGATCGGTACAGTACAGCCGTCTGTTGTGCTTATACCGACCTCCAATCGTGTATCCATATTTTGACTTTTTCAATGAACTCGAAGTTGAGGATAGTAGCTCCGATATACAGTCACATCTGAATGCTCGGATAGACCTCAATCATGCTCCTACAAGGGGTAGCTCTGGGAGAAGCAGTCCACATTCCCCGTTGCCCCCTGTCAAATGCCTTATAAATTCCCCATGAATCCTGCTAGGTACCATACCCGACCTTCTAGTGGTGGCAAAACTCAACGTGATTCTATGCTCCAATCTATCCATTTCAGCCAACGCCAGTTATATACCCACAGTCGATGTATATGGCAACACCAACTGCACTAGAGGTGATGCCTACAGGGGGGTTCGGGGGAAGGGAACCCGAGATCCAGCGAGCGCAGAGTGTCGGCGAATAATCATGAGCTTTCTCCCCAACCTTGTCGGCCGGTGTAGACCAAACATGCAAAATTTTGGGTTTCATGATGATGAAGCGGGGAATCGAGTCGAATTCGACCAAGGTTAAAGCTATTTTGGATATGCATGCCTCGACTTCAATCCGAGAGGTGCAATAATTGACCGGGCCGATCTGGGCGCTTAGCCGCATTAAGCAAATTCTTGTCAAAGTTGGCCGAGAAGGCTCTCCCATTCTTTAAGATCCTTAAGAAGGCGAATGCCTTCGCATGGGATGATAATTGCCAGGTGGGCTTGAGAGCTTGAAAAAATACATGATGTCACCCATCATCTTATCTAGACCGGAACTCGGGGAGACTTTGGATGTGTACTTAGCCGTGACAAATTGGGCGGTTAGTGCAGTTTTGTGTCGAACCGACCAGCAAGGAGTTCAACGCCTCGTATACTACGTTAGTCACGCATTGCAGGGACCCAAGCTGCGATATTCCCGATTAGAGAATGTCGTTTTCGCCCTCTACACGGCCGCAAAGAAATTAACTCCGTATTTTCAAGGGTGGACTGTTCGGTGTTGACTGATCAACCCACCGGAGCAATCTTGAGTACTTCGACTTCCTCCGATTGTTTGGTAATGTGCGCAATGATGCTTACTCAATTTGCGATCGAGTATAAGCCGCAATCGGCAGTCAAGGGTCGAGCGTTGGCAGATTTCTTAGTGGAATGCACAATGAGAGATACCGAGCGGGCATGGCAGTCCGACCCCAAAGACCCTTTGTGGGAAATCGCCACTGATGATTCAAGCGGTGGCGTAATCATCACTATCTCAAAGGCTTGTTATGGTCCACACAATAATTTGTCGATTTCCTCCGACCCTCTCGCTAGCGTCAATGCAACAATATTTGGCACCCGCCAATTTTCTAATGTTGGATATAGGACAATTCTAAAAAAGGTCATCGATATGATGAGAACGAGGATTTTAATTTGTTGCAGTGTAAGACTCGACCCTAAGCTAGCCGAAGCAAGGAGGCCGGCCATTTTGTGGCTGGCTAAAAAACCAAGGGCCTGAGGGGTAATTTTGGAGACAGGATTATTGTTTAAATGTATGGCTGGGCAAACTTGGTAGCTCACACTTTGGCCAGAGCCAGCTACAAGCTCTTATGCTGTTGTACGAGAATGGGACTTAGCTCCTCCTCCCTTATTACTGACTTGCTTACTTTTGATTAATATTATTCAAGTTTCTTGATTCAAATATACATATATCATTATTAATGTGTTGATTTTAATACTCATATTCAAACCAATGGAATTCATATTCTCATATTCAAACCAAACACTAACAAGCCGTAAATGGAATTCATATTCCCATAACCAAACCAAACGGTCTGTAAATGATAGCCACAATATAGTAAAATTTCAACAAGAACATGCTACAAAAAGCATTATTTATTTTTTAATCCCAGAATTAATCATCTAGGCAAGGAGTTTGGAGGGAAGTAATGCAGTGGATTCTCCCTCAATAATTCCGTTTCCCTGCATAAAGTTAACACCACAATGATTAGCGAAACTGAGGCGAATAGTGAAGTGGGGAAAGAAATGCTGAGGTAGAAGTCATTCACTCACTTCTTGATGTCTTTTCCATCCCCTTGTCTGAGCTGCAGAGTAGAAACCTTCTCACCACGATTTTCTGTTTCAGATTTTCTACAAGTGTAAACAGAGACAGCATCAATGCCACATTCTGCAGCATGTCTGAAGAACTAATTAACTATTCTAAACTTCATTCATGTAGATTCAAACACAATACAATAGTGGCTAAGTGATTGATATATGCATGGATTCTCCATTGGACTTTCATAAAGTCAAAAGTATATATACACGAGTCTAACAATGATAGCAGTGTGTACTCACTCATTACATTCGTCATCCACAAAAATCTCGATGCATGCAGTAGCAGTGGCTCCATTGTTTCTATGTACTGCTCTTTGAGGAATCTGGAAAAAGGAACTTTGGGTATGAGATATTGCTAAACATTGGGTATTCTTGCAAGGTCAAAGTTTTCTTCACATGAAACCTAACCTTATTTGAGGTCCATTTGGAAGGAATTGCATTATTCTCTTTGTTCCTCTCTCCTCTGGCACCAAGGCAGTGCCATGATCTGGAGTCCAACTTTGATGTCTCTATATGATGGCTTGATGCGATATCAGTGTTTTTATCTTTATAAATGGGGAGTAGTGGAACTTGAGCCCTGCAAAATGTGAATTCTCATTCAGAAATGCATTCATTATACACTATCCACATTCTCTGTCAAATTGTTCTTGCAATCTCATTATCAGCATTTCAGTTTCAATTCAATACTAACACAATCCTGAACAAGTCTTGTCTATTGATCCTCAAATGTTGTTATTCGAAAGGATCATAGATATTCAAAATCCCAGAAAGTATTCAATCTCACATCTTTTTAAAGATTTTAAAGTAGAATCCTTAAATATAATAACATATGCATTAATAAGATTTCAGCTGCTATAATCAGGAAACTTGCTAATTCAGTGGCCCCTATGATTTTACCCTGGAGTAGAGATAAACAAGAATTCATGCTATCAAGAAACCCTATAAGGATAAAATCATTTTGCTCACCTTCCATGCTTCAACTTCTTCCTAGAAAAATCAGAAGTCTCTGTAGTTTGATTTCCTACAGGAAGGAGAACAATATTACTATTTAAGATTCTCATGACTTCAACAGAAACATGGGGTTATATGACTTACCAGTGCCTCCTCTAGCCAATAAAGTACCAAAACTTCGAACTGGCAATTGGTTTTCTGTTGAATCTTCCTGACCATTTGCAAAGAGGCATCATTAATATTTAATACAACCTCATGGAAAATAGGAAACAACAAAAAGGTGGGAACCCTAAAGGAGCAATTTACATACCTCTACTGCTTTTGGTTTCCTCATTGATCGTCCAAGAAATTTCCTATAAGCTTCCTTCAACTTTTCAATTGGCTGTGCATTTCTAGAACAGAGGAACACCAAAACAATAACATTAGCGATAACAATAATAATGTTAGTGGCTGAAGCCTGAAGGTACTACTTATCATTGGATAGCAAACATAGGAATAAAGGAAAATGTAATATGCTTGATTTGGTTCCTGAAGGATGTTAAATATGTAAATAAAAATTCAATTGCATGATGTCTCAAAGGTATTTAGGGACATTATTTTAACCTAAAGTATGAGAGGATTTAATCATGCTGTCAACCAAAGCATAAGCTAATGATTGATAATGTCATTGCATTGCTGGAGCAAAAAGTTTTACCCACAACTGGCAATCATTTGCCCCCATGATAGCCAACTCATGTTTAATATATTCACTGATAAACAACATAATATCTTGAAAAAAACAACATTTGCTATTTAAGAAAATTCAAAACAGGAAGAAGATTGGAAAAGAATCAATAAAAAATAAAAAATAAAAAATAAAAAACAAAAAACATGCACACAAAACGAAAATCACTGTAAGCATTTGAATTATTTACTACTTTATTCAGAATGAAGGCTTAATTGACACTAACTAAGAAGCCTCAAGTTTAACGTGTGAAGCATCAGACATGGGAAACCAACATAGCAACATAAAATACCAATGTTATCTAAGTCAAAGGGTCCTACATAATTTAGATAGTACACCAAACTCAAACAAGACCAATGCAGCAGAGAAGTCAACCATACAGGAAATCATAACTAGATAAAATAAACTAAATGTACAAAATAAAGAGAACTTACATAGATAACCCACGATTGAATATTTCATCTGCAGTTCTAATTTTATTTTTAGATTCCATGTGCAAGGCATATGCAACGTAGAAGGAAGAGTGTGTCTGTCCAATTTTATTTGCCTCCAGAAAACTAAAGATGACTTCAGCATCCACACAATTTTCAGCCTGCCAAAAATTTCAAATGAAAACATAATAAGAACTGGCCATTATGGCATAGTTTTTTAATCAACTAAAGATCACACTTGTAAACTTAATTCTGTATAATGTGGAGAAAAAGGAGGAAAAACATGGAAATGGAACCTACATATTCTAGCCACACTTTCAAGTAGCGAATATCATCTTTGTATCGATCGTCATGCCAAAAGGTACGAACACATTGTTCATAAATCACAACAAGTCCTGAGCTGTCTCCACCAGGAGGGAAAGACTCCTGGACCCACTTGATACACCTACAGGATTTTAGTGAACATAGCGTTATTAAACATCAAAAGAAAGTGCACTAACATAAAATCTTGGACAAAAGCATCAATTTCCCCTCAGTTGAGGGCCTTGAGGCAAGCACATTATGACAGACTATTTCACCGGTATAAACCAGTGTGCCCTTCAAAAGTTTGTACTTGAGAGGAAACAAAAGGCAAACTATGCCCAATTGATAACGATCCGAAATTGGAAGGAAAAAGAGCAAGGGGGTGAATCACAAAATGAGGACTCACTCGAGCCATGGTTGGAGAGGGTCTTCGCCTTTGTACTCGTCAATGGCTTCAATCAGCCTCCTGGTGTTGAAAGGGGGCAGGTTAAATTTAGGAAAAAGAATGAAATCGGGAGCCGAATCAAGGAGTGAATTAGTTAGCGCAAACCTTCGTTTATCGAGAAGGGATTTCTTGAGCTGGAAATCAGAGTGAGATTTGAGAGCGTCGTTGAGAAGACTGATGTTACGGCCTCTCTTGAGAGGCCTGACGTTCTCCTTGAAGAGTTCCCACTCGTTGCCCGTCTCTTGCTTTGACGCCAAAAACTCAGTCTCTGGATCCATTAATACGTTCTCCATTTCCGTCGGTCTTCTTCTTCTTCTCCTCCTAGTTGCAGAGAGAAATTTGCCGTGCGTTTCAAATTTTGAAATGAGCATATAACAACGGAAGATTCATACACAGTTTCAATTTCATAGCCGTTGGAGCCTTGGGGCGTGGGCCAGATGGACTGCCGATTGAACCAATCGCGTTGAGGTTTGCTGGGTTAGCCCATTACTTTCAAAAATACCAAGCCCAAAAAGCTGTCGCTGAGTTAACAATTGTTATATCGTGCACCAGAGCGCACAATGCATTGTGTGTCTTAAAAATCTCATGTTTCGTATTATCGTATGTACATAATTGTAGAGTATAATACACATAAACTCATAACATAATACACATAAACTCTTAATATAATATACATAAACTTTTAACATAATACACATACACTTTTAGGACGCACAATACATTATGTAGCCAAGTCCACGATATAATTTGCCATGAGTTAAGAGCAAGGCTCCTAGCCTCCTGGTACTCGGATCCACTTTATAAGAAAAGGGACATCATGAAAGCAACAACATCATTTTAAATTTAAAAAGAAAAAAAAATCGAAAGTATGTGTAATGTATTTGGATAATGTTTTTTTTTTTTTTTTTTTTTTTTTTTTTTTTTGCCTATTAAACTATGTAATTTAGGTTATCATTTTGTTGTTTGGTGCCTATTAAACTATTTGCAAATTAGATTGTATTTTGTGCAACTAACATGTGATTTTTTGTTGCTTGAGGATCTATTAAACAACTAAACAAGTGCAACTTAAGATGTTGTTTTGCAGTAAGAGTTGTGTATATATGAAGATTCATGGAGGGAATTTGAGAAAAGTTTACGAAGTGACCAATATGTCATTTAATAATTTAAAAATTTAAAATAAATTGTTAATATTAATAAAATCTATAGATAATGAATTGGAATTGTCGCATTTGACATAATTAATGAGGAAAATTTGTACTCCGTATAAAATGTTCTCTGTGTCACATTTTATCTATTCTACTTAGTATTCATTGGTCAAATAAGCTATTTCTTCTTTATTTATTTTCTTTAGTATTTTGTTACTTATTTTTAATTTTTTTAAAAATGTTTAATAGTAGTTTTGGTGTAGTTTCTAAATATATAAAATTTGTACACTAATAGTATACAAATTTAATATTATGAAAAATTTGAATTAAAAATACATTTATTAAAGCCTCGTTATTCGATATAACGAGCCAAATACATAAAGTGAAATGGATGGAGTAATAATTAATGAGTTGAATATACAATTTTGGTATAACTAATTGATTAAAATCATCATTTTGCCTATTTTAGTTTATGATATTGTAATTTATAAATTGTAACATTTTAATTTTAAAATTAATTATTACTTTTATTATCATTATTATTATTATGTAGAGACATTGATTTTTATACTCATTATTCCATATAAATATATAATTTCAAATCCAACCAAACAATAGAATCAATATTCTCAATAATTTATTTTTGACCAACAAAACAACAAAATCAATTATCGTGCTATTTTTTAATAGAATTTCAATTTAATTTATCTTCAAATATTTTTCGCAAACCAAACTCAAGTATTCACTATTTCTATGTAAAATGAGTTGCACTCCAATTTTAAAAGCTCTACCATAGCATTGCAGTTCATGGTGAAAGAAGTTAATAATATGAAATGTTTTATAAAATGTACATAATTGGTCTACTATTTTTCTTGGATCTAGAAACGGCCATATTACAAAAAAAAAAAAAAACAAAAAAAAAAACAAATGAATTTAACGGTTTAAAAAAGCAGACAACAGTATTAGCAAGTATTTGTGTATGGGATATTAAAGTCCATGTCGGATACAAATTATTCATCATAGTCAAGTAGATTATAGATAGATTCCTTATCCTAACTTTTACAAAAGCAAAGCTATCCAATTCAGCGACCAAATTGAGCAGGGTGAACACAAAGCCACAAAATTCAAGTGACGGAGCTGAGAAGTGAGAACCCTGAACGTAATAAGTGGGAATAAAAAGAGGAAAAGGGAGAAAATTAGATCATAGAACGTGGAAGAAAGGTATGGGGTCTTTGAGTTTGAATCTGAAGGCATCTGGACCCCAAGGCCCTGGGTTGTTCAGATCAGGGTCAGGGGTACCGCCAAGGAAGGTGATGAGGGTGAAAGCTACGAGCGGAGGAGCTAAGTACAAGGGGACGTACATGAGGGAGAAGCAGCTGGAGGAGATGATAGAGAAGAAGGTGAAGGAAGCCAAGGAGGTGTGTGGTGAGGACGAAACGTCCGACGAGTGCAAGGTGGCATGGGACGAGGTGGAAGAGGTGAGCCAAGCCAAAGCCGATCTCCGCCTCAAGCTTCAGAAACAACAAGATCCCCTCGAGTCCTTCTGTCAAGACAACCCCGAAACTGATGAGTGTCGCATCTATGAACATTGATTATATTCTTCAACTTCTGCATTCACACCTGTCTTAATGTTAATTAATCACTGTACTTGTAGCAGCACCCATATTTGATGTAACACAATAAATGTGTTTGTTTGATAATACTATCTATTCAAGCAAAAGCAATCGCCCCTTTACTATCTATTCTTGTCTACCACCTTCAGCACTATTCGCCTCCTTGATTTCAATTGTAAATCCATATTCCAGGTTCTTAGGAGAATCACTTATGAAATGCACATAATGTATAGGCCTTTTCTTCCAGAAATTCAAGTCTGACCCATCTTCCTTTGGAGAATCACCCTTTCAATGCCAAACCACTGTCCATACCAGCAAATAAAACTAATAGCCGAAAGAGGTAGTCGAGTGGATATAGCATAATTCGTTCGAACACAAGAGCCAAGAGAAAAATAGAAATAAATAAAAAGTAGTAACATTCACCTGTCTATGTCCATAAAATGTATCAATTGCATCCCATTTGAATTGCTGTATAGATGCTTCCAATAAAGAATGATTCATACAATAACTTCTGGTAGTAACATAAACATTATGGGCTTCCCATTCATTTGATTGTCTGACAAATGGAACTTATTTTGGCGCGGTCATGGCATGCATCCTGCCAGCCTCAAATTTGACCCCTGGATGTGTAGTTCTGGCAGCATAGGCCAGGATAGTGGTTGGAGAAGAAGTCCATTTGATGCCAGCCCCAATATGATACAGTCTGATCCTTTCTGGAGATTCCTCAAATGGCAAATTCTACATCACATGAATAGTCTATTCAATAGTCAATACCAGTTGGCACCGCAATCAACCTTCATATTGTTGCTTCTGCTTTTAGTCAGTTAATTGCTAACAAGCCTGAAAGATCTTTCTTGATGTCAACAAGTAGCTCTACATCCTAAATACTTAACACTAGCACAATTCATGATCACTTTTACTTCCTTGTCTTCATTCACCTCAAACTCAAAATCTGCACCAACCTTATTATCAAAAGCTTCACCACCATTGGCAGCAGCACTAGCTACCATCTTGATTATCCATCCATACCTATTGACCAAATAAAATGACTTCTCAATCTCCATATCCCTTTAAGGAGTTCTAAGAAAGCCAGGACCTCATCCACTGCCTTGCTACCAGTAGTTGGTGGCAGCCCTTCTAGTTATTGAACCACTGAGAATCCTTTCATTGGTAAGGCATTAAGGCACACATTATTCCTAATGGCGTCTCTGTTTGTTGTCTAGTTGAGTAGTTGGAATTGGTTCTGACTTCTGATGCAACTGGTCCTCCCTCTTCCATAATTTGCACTCTTAATTTTCTATTCAATTCAATGGGGTTGCCATGATCACCAAATCTTCGGGAATCTATTTTCCCCAAAAGGAACTGAGGCTTAGCACTAAGCTCAGGGGTGTAACGAAGGCAATAAGTGAGTTAGGGCATGATACCTTAAATCAGTATCTCAACCTTTTTGTTGTTGGAGAGATATCTGAAGATTATAGAAGACAGAGAGTAGTTAAAAAATAAGGGATGCTACTTCAGTGGCGAAATCTCTTGTAATGTAAAACAGGAATTTGTAGATATGTGTAATTCAAAACCCTACATGTGATAGAAAGTGATCAAACAAAAAAAAAAAAAAAAAATCAGCAAAAAGGAAGATGTAGAAATGTATATAGTATCTCGAAACATGCTGGATACACCACAAGGGATGGTGCTTTGCAATACCAATTTGAAGAGCAATGTTGCATCAAACAGATTGACATGCATATGCATAAACATCAGTAAAATGGTGTCGAAATCCTTTTACACCGGAAAAATGATTGGGAGAACAAATCGGCGACGACACAACAACCGTAGAATTTTGATCCTACTACAGCAGCAAGCAACCGTAGCAAGAAGGCAATACTGGATTCATAGTAACTGAGTATTAGATTCTACTTACCAAATCATAGAGTCCGAATGTGATGTGTAGTTGAAGAACACGGCGTTCTCAGTCGTCGTTGCCTTCTCCTTCAGTCCTTGGTCTTCTGTTCTTCCTCTGGCTCAGACGGGATGAGATCAAATTTGGGCGGTGGAACTCGAGCCACTCAAATATGGGCTAGGCGGCTAGGGGCAAATTATACCATTGACCACGGTCCGCAATACATTGTGGTCCAGACATCAAATATGCAATGCAATTTCATTTCAACACAATTACAATATCATTTTGATATAGAGCAAATACCAATTTTGGTCCCACGAGTATTAACAAAATGACGGTTTTGGTCCACATGTTTAATTTCTACCAATTTTCATCCCACGACTATTGTTTTAGTACCAATTTTCATCCACGACTATTATTTTAGTACCAAAATTCATCACGTCGGTCACCCCTCCATCCAAGACATGTCGAAATCTAAAAATTTTAAGGTCATTTTTGTCATTTTCAACTTAAGACTCTAATTTGAGCATGAATAAAGGGATGTAAGCCCTAAGATCAATCCCAATTGGCAGTTCTCCTCATCATCCTACTTTAATTTGAAGAGAAAAATTGCGAGTCGCGATAGATCTTTGGGCTTAAATCTTTTTATTCATGCTCAAATTGGGATCTTAATTTTAAAAAGACGAAAATACCCTTAATAATTTCATATTTCGACATGTTTTAAACAAATGTGTGACTGGCGTGATGAATTTTGGCACTAAAACAATAGTCGTGGATGAAAATTGGTACTAAAGTAATAGTCGAGGATGAAAATTGGTAGGAATTAAACATGTGGACTAAAATTGTCATTTTGCTAATACTCGTGGGACCAAAATTGGTATTTGCTCTTTTGATATAACTACAGTTTTGCTGGACAATGTACACTCAAATATGTGAAATTGTTATTTAGTTTCATTTTGTATACACTGCAGTTTCATTCCAATTCAATTGCAGTTTCATGTGATAATATAATAAAAATGATACGTGAAACAATGTCAGTTTAGATATAGTATAATGTCTGTCGTTTTGGACCATGGTTCATAAAGCTTTGTGGACTGCGGTCCACAGTATAATTGCTGGCGGTTAGGCCAGTAGGCCGATTTATTTATTTTTTGGGCTGGACCACCGTCAGCTTTTATTGGCGAGAAAATCAGATTTAGGCCAACCCACTTGGGGTCAATAGTTATGCTGTGGAACCGTGTTCACCATGCGCATGGTGAATAGGGATAGATCCATAATTTCTAAGTTGTAGATCCATAATTTCTATATTGTAGATTCATAACATTTATACTGTAGATTCATAATTTTTATACCGTACTGTAAATCCATAATTTCTATACTGTAGATTCATAATTTCCATACTATAGATTCATAATTTCTACAACATAGAAATTATGAATCTACAACATATAAATTATGGATCTATCTATGCATTCAGTATGCGCATGGTGAACACGTTTCTACAACATAATTTGTGACTTGGGGTGGTGGTTAATTTGTTATACTATGATCCATAGTGTAGTGTGAATCTTAATATAAAAATAATGTGTATGTAATTAGTAAATTATGTGTCTAAACACATAATTTGGAGCCATTATGCTAGTGAATTATTGTGTGGAATATATTTTTAATATACTAAAAAGACATTATTTCGTATATTGAATGTATATTATACAAAATAATACACTTTTAGTACTCAAATAATATACTTTTTCTGAATACAATGTACATTTTTAATATAATAAAGCACATTATTTGTGTACTGAATATACATTATTTGAAAGTATGATTTATATAGCTGTGTAGATCATAATTGTATTATGCAAAGTTTGAAGTTATAATTTTTTCATTAATTTTTTTTACATTCCTACAATTTCAATTCGCTTTAAGAAATAAACACCAATTTCAAATCAATATAACTTTAACCCACTTTTAACATAATAATAATAATAATAAATAAATAAAAAAACAAGTACAAAAGCTGCAAAATTACACCTTTTGTACTTGTTTGTAAGCTAGCAAAAAAATGTAAAAAGTAAAAAGGAAATTGCTATGTGGACTTGCAAACCCAATACTTTGAGGAGGTGGTTCAAGTTATCCAATATAATAAATAGAATGTGGTATTTTTAAGTTTTTTTTTTTTTTTTCCAAAACAAAAGTTTTATTAAACAACGGGAAAAAGAGTCTTACAATTGACGATCTAAAAGTGACCAGAAAACATACTGAGCCCATTTGGACCTATAATGCGCAAAAAGAAATTAAAAAAGGAATGGACCAAAGCCTTGATAGGCCAGGCCTAAAGAAGGAAGGAATAAAATAATGGACCCGAGCCCAACTAATAGGCCAGATCAAAAGAATAATAAATGGAGAGAAGAAATAAATAAAAGAGGATGCTGAAATGGAGGCGCAGAATCCCCTATCAACATCAATTTTCGCACAATCCAGCAGCATAACGACGGTTTCTATGATAGCAGTCTGTACGTGCGTGCTACCATGTACAATTGCGCCACCATACCGCACCACCACAAAGTTGCAATGTTGTGACTCTGCACCAGCATTCATAAGTTTACATTTTCATGTTTGGTTCATATTATCTTACTTTTCCAAGGAAATGTAACATTCCCAAAGGAATGCAACATACCCTTCACATATGATTTATATTTAGTAGTTACTAATTTATTTTAAAACGATTATTTAAAAGTACCATTTCAAAATAATTTATTATTTTAAACTTTCACTTTATTTGTAACTTACAATAAGTTATAAGTTATTACACTCTACCAAATATAGTCAAAGCTATGAACATTTGTGTGAAAAAAAAAAAAAAAAAAAAAACTAAAAAACAGAGGGGATTACCTTTTAACCAATTAGTTATCACTTATCAGTTGGTGTAATTATTGTTTAAAAAACAATAACAAATGGAGTATCACCGCCAACATCATGGTACACCAACTGGACTGTACGATTGTTGATTTGTTGACCCAACAAGTCCTACTACCACTATCCATCCAACCAAAGAAAAGCAAGGAAAGGACGGGTAATAAATGCGGCGGCGAAGGGAGGAAAGAGGTAATAGGAGGAGGAGGCGTACGGAAGTAAGTGGACCTGTGGATTAGTCGGCATGTGAATGGCCTGCCCGGCTGTGCCAGTGGACAAGGAAAGCGACACCTCCTATCCAAATCCCTCCTTTCACTTTTTTAATATCGTACAACACACTGTATTGCCCACTAAACACAGTACCTTCCAACTCACAGTTAATTTCTTGATTTTTCTACCAAAAAATGTAGATAATTATTTACACCCAAGATAAAAATATGGGCAGGTGTCGGATTCTTCGTAGGTACGCGGGCGGTTGGCACAACTCTTTAACCCAAGTGCTTATTCAATTTCTTATTACCCCGTACAATTTTTGCCAGCCAACCCCCATTCATGAACTGGAGGTAGTGAGAGGAGTAGGAAAGAACAAAAAAAAAAAAAAATCAAAGGGCAAAAAGAAACAGTTTGTGGGAGGACTAGAGACATTTTAAGAAAAAACATAAATAAATAAGAATAAAAAGAAAGTGAATTATAGTTGCAGAACATGGAGGGAAGGTGAAAGAAAGGGGAGAGTTTGTGTTCCAGATCTCTCCATGTTGCTGTGAGTTTGTGTGGCTTGCCAAGCTGTTTCTGCTCTGGATTTGAAGAAGAAAAGATTTAAGCATAACAGGATAAATATAATGGCATCCGCATCCAGGAACCCATAAAGGTGTGTGCTTTATTGATTTAGTGCTTTCGTTTGAATTTTTTATGGATGCTATAACTTTCCCTTGTAAAAATCCCATTCTTGTGTCCTCTTAGAACTCATAAAGTCTGTATCTTTGTTCTTTATCGGCTGCATATTGCAATATTGATACTACTCTTTGCATCTTGGATGCCTGCTTGTTTATGCCTTCATCATTATTATGTTTTGGTAATGAAGTTTGAGCTTTCTACAGGCGGTATTGATGTTTTCTTGTTATCTTTTTTCCTATTTAATTCTGTATCCTAGGATTTTTGGGTATATCTTGCCAAGTTAAAATTTTAACATGGAAGAATTGAGTGCCGGAGTGGTTTCTCCAATGCTAATTCACCATCAACAACTTGGCGGTTGTTTGCCGCATTCCATGGCCAAGAAGCGTAGTTTGTCATTTCAGTCTATAAACATGGCACAACAACGGAACCCTTTGGACACCTGGAATCCCAAGGCTTGGGAATGGGATAGCACCAGGTTTCTTGCCAAACGAAAAGAGTATGATGGATTCCAGCCTGGTGCCCGGGCAGAATTACAGTTGAGAAGAGATGGAGCTGTGCCAGTGCAGCCAAAGAGAAGGGAGGAACAGATGGATGATCCAAAGAAGACAATACATGTGGTTGAAGATGATGAGACTCTTAGGTTGAATCTTGGAGGCACTGGAGGTTGCAAATTGAATTCTGCAGAGGAGCTGACGGTACAGCCTAACAAAAGAGTCCGATCTGGATCTCCTAATGGTGGTAACTATCCGATGTGCCAAGTTGATAATTGTAGAGAAAATTTGACCAATGCCAAGGACTATCACCGGCGGCATAAGGTTTGTGAGATTCACAGTAAAGTTAGTAAAGCTTTGGTGCGGGATCAGATGCAACGGTTTTGCCAGCAGTGTAGCAGGTTCGTAATGTGTGAATGGACTTCTTATTTCATGTTTAGCTCACTAAATGGACATCCTCTTTTGGAGGTTGTATTGATTAAGCAAGGTCACAGCTCCTAAACTGTGTTATTCTGCTTAGAATTGCAGATATAATCCAGTTATTTTCTTCCCAGGTTTCACCTGCTTTTGGAGTTTGATGAGGGTAAGAGGAGTTGTAGGCGCAGACTCGCTGGGCATAACAAGAGGAGGAGAAAAACTCAGCCTGAGGACACAACACCAAGGCCGTTGCTTCCAGGAAATAATGACAATTCTGGGAATCGTAACTTAGACATTGTCAATTTGCTAGCAGTTCTAGCTTCTGAACAAGGTAAAAGCTATACTTTAGTTTTGGCATTCACATACTAACATAACTCTTAACAATCTTATTTGACAAAGAGTGACTTACTGAAATGTATGTGCATGTAATTCTAGGCAATAATGACCCAGGGAGCGCTAATATCCCATTGGTACCTGATAAAGACCAAATAATGGAGATTCTTAGTAAAATTAAGTCATTACCCTTGCCAGCTAACTTAGTGGACAAGTTGCCTGCTTCTGGAAGCTCAAGTCAGACCAGTGCCAACCAATTGTCCCCGGGATTTAAAGCAAATGAGAGCATCTCTTCTCCATCAACTTTGGACCTGCTTTCTCCACTTTCAGCAACTCCAGCAGCAGGTTCTTCTGATGCGGTGGACATTCAATCGCAAAGAAGCAGTCAGGGGAGTGACACTGAGAGAAGTACATTGACCTGTGTTGAGAAGGTGAAATGGCTCAATTTGCAAGAAAGACCACCTCTAGAGCTTTTGTCAGTTCAAGGGGATAGAACAAGTGCCAGTTTCCAATCTACTGATGATCTAGATTTTCAAGTTCACGAGACTCGTTCTCATCTACCGTTACAGCTTTTTAGTTCTCAAACTGAAGATGATAGCCCACCAAGACTTGCAGGTTGTGGCAAATATTTCTCTTCTGAGAGCAGTAATCCTTCAGCAGAGAGGTCGCCTTCATCTTCACCACATGTTGAGCATAAACTATTCCCCATGCAGATATCAAATGAAACAGTGAAGCCTCACTGTACTTTTGCTAGTAGGGAGGAGACTCAGGAGAATAAGAATCTTAATGCTACTAAAAAAAGTGGTTGCATTACATCTTTAAAGCTTTTTGGAGGTTCAATAGCTGGAGCAGACATTGGCTCTATTCAAAACCCTGCTTATAGAACAGGATATACATCTTCCTATGGGTCTGATCATTCACCTTCTAGTACGAACTCTGATGCACGGGTATCTACACTCCTTTTTATTCCTCCTTTGTGCTTAAATAGCTCTTGTTATTTTTATTTTTATTTTTTCAAAAAACTTAAAGATTCGACTGAATTTGACTTTGATTTCTTTACAGGATCGAACTGGACGCATAATATTCAAACTATTTGATAAAGATCCCAGCCACTTGCCTGGGACACTGCGAACCCAGGTGAGAAATTTGGTTAATTTTTGCTTATTGATGATCTTTCTCTGTTACTGCCGATGATGTAATGATTTTTCTTACACATTTCTTCCAGATTTACAATTGGCTTTCCAAAATTCCTTCAGAAATGGAGAGTTATATAAGGCCTGGTTGCATTGTTCTGTCACTTTATTTATCAATGCCACCTTCTGTCTGGGAGCAAGTGAGTCAAGTATTGTAAAATATTTTGCTACTATTTCTATGTGGATTATTTGTTTGACTGACCATTTGCGAGGGACATGTTTTATTTGTAGCTAGAAGAAAATCTTTTTCAGTATGCGAATGCTTTGGTTAAAGAAGTTGATCCTCAGTTTTGGGCTAGTGGAAGATTTTTAATTCGAACAGACAAGCAACTGGCTTTACACAAAGATGGTTAGCGTTTGTGTGTTAATTTTGTTAAGATAACTGAATACAATGATTCACACTGTTACTCCCCTGCTGTTGTATGGTTAGCTTTACACAAAGATGGTTAGCGTTTCTGTGTTAATTAGGTGTGCCACTCTTTGGACTCCATACATTAGCTTTCCTGTTATATGATTATTTATCTTATCTTTTATATGCTATAAACTGGACAGGGAATATCCGTGTATGCAAATTATGGAGAGAGAGAAAGTCCCCAGAATTGATATATGTCTCCCCCTTGGCAGTTATCAGTGGACAGGAGATATATCTCACACTTAAAGGGAGAAATCTGAACTTTCCTGGCACCAAGTATGTAAACTATTTTAAGTCTTTTGTGTGCCATAATCTCTCTCTTTTTTCCCATCTATCTTTGTTGGAAGGTTTACTTGGTTTATCATTTCAGGATTAATTGCACACATGCAGGTGGTTACACAATAAGGTCGGTTCCTTCATCAGCATGCCAAGAAAATGCCTGTGAGGAGATAATCCTAGGCAACTTTGTAATCGATGATACAGATCCTAGTTTACTTGGTCGTGGTTTTATTGAGGTAGTTTTGTCGTAAACTAAGATGAAGTTTTCTGGAACCTAGGTTTGAACTTTGAGTACATTTAATTTGTTTCTTTTCTTCCTGATTCTGCAGGTTGAAAATGGGTTTGGAGGAAGTACTTTTCCTGTTATTATAGCTGACAATGCTGTGTGTGAAGAATTGAGGTGCCTTGAATCTGAAATAATTGAAATTGTGAAAGTTCCCAAAGCAGTTGATTTTTGGATGCCCAGGTCAAGGGAAGAAGTAGTCCATTTTCTAAATGAGCTTGGATGGGTGTTTCAAAGAAAGGGCAATTCCTCCATGTTTGAGGGTCCAGATTTTATGATTAGCCGCTTCAAATTTCTATTCATATTCTCAGTTGAACATGATTTCTGTGCAGTGGTTAAAACACTTTTAGAGATTCTGTTGGAGATTACCTTGGTTAGAGAAGCAAGTAGGGAATCATTGGAGATGCTCTTTGAACTTCAGCTTTTGAGCAGGGCTGTTAAAAGGAAGTGTAGGAAGATGGTTGACTTGCTTGTTCACTACTCTATATGTGCTTCTGGTGGAAGCCCTATCAACTATATCTTCACACCCAATCTTACTGGGCCAGGTGGCATTACACCTCTGCATTTAGCAGCTTGTACATCGAATTCAGATGACATTGTTGATGCTCTGACTAGTGACCCACAGGAGGTAAATTTTTCGTTAAATCCATTTTGGATCGATATCATATATCCCGGCCCTAGTGAAACATATTCATGTTTTGATGTTTTTAGATTGGGTTGCACTGCTGGAAATCTGTACTGGATGAAAATGGAGTGTCTCCTTGTGCATATGCTTCAATGAGGAATAACGACTCTTACAACAAGCTTGTGTCTCAGAAGCTTTCTGTGAGAGAAAAGGGCAAAGAAATATGTTTAGTGATTGGAAATGAAGTGGAAGAAGAGCAGGAGCATAAACCTCCTACTGCTGCTGCTGCTTGCCAAGTTAACAAGGAACCCAAATCTTGCTCGAAATGTGCTTCTGCAGCGATAATGAGATATAACAGCAGGCCGAGGAGTCCACGAGGATTGATGTATCGTCCCTACATCCATTCATTGCTTGCTATTGCTGCAGTTTGTGCATGTGTGTGTATCTTCTTCCGGGGATCCCCAGATATTGGCTCAGTTGCTCCCTTAAAGTGGGAGAATTTGGATTTTGGTGCAATTTAATTAGGATGAAGTAAATAGTGTACCAGTAATTCCATCTAGGCTAAGCTAGCTAGGCTTTTTATTTTATAATCAAGACAGACAATAATATATATCTATATATATGCATGCATGCTAGCTGCACTATACAAGCTAAGACATTAAATCTGTTACATCATATCCAGTAATTCTTCACTCCAACAATATTCTATAATGTAAATACTCTTCAACACTTGCTATCTACCTAGCTATTCTGGGAGCTGAATTCCCTATTTCAATCTGAAATACATATATACACAAACAAGCTTCATAAAGAATCCACACTTTTTTTTTTTTTAAATAAAAATTTAACTTATCCATTTTACTTTTTACGTACACCTTATATTTATTTATTATTTTTAATGAAAAGTTGTATGTTGGATGGTGGTGTAGGGTAAATATATATAATATAATTAAGGCGTTACGTGGCTCTGATCCTAGCACTGCCCCTACCTCCAGAAATATTCTGAACAATGGCTTCTCCAACCCCCTCGCCGATTCCATCTATAAGCCCTCCGATGAACTCGAAAACCACCTGACCCGCAATCTTAACGGCAGTCCCAAGCACGCTTGGCTTCTCTGGGGGATTGATTCCGTTTTCTTGAAGACCATTCATCATTTCCTTGGCACAAACTGCATGTAAATGATAATCGCAGGCTGTGCAGCCATACACCCGTCCCGCTCTCTTCTTCCCGCACTTACCGCATGACACTGCCGCCGCGTGTCCGTGTTGATCACCGGCAGCAGGACTCCCCTGCAGACCTGATGATGGCGGTAAGAGCTTTAAGCGGTGGGCATGCGGCGGATACTTTATCTCCGTGGAAAGCATAGCGCAGCAAGGATGCATCTGAAAACTACAAGCTCTGCATCTGAACGTGAACCCTTTGGTGGATTTCCCGCATACATCACACTTTGCCCGTGTAATTCCAGATTTCACTATAGATATATATAATCATCATCATCATCATATCCCTCCCATCCACATGTTATATATATAAAAAAAAAAAAAAAAAAAAAAGTACTAGCTACTATACGTACCTTGTTTGGGTTTATCATGGAAAAGGAGCTGGTGCTGTCCATGCAAGGGATGAGTGTTTAGAGAGGGAGGAGAGAGGGCACAGAAGTCATGCAGCTGAAAATTACATTGTTGGCAAGCATACCTCTTCCCTGCGCCGTACTCCTTGCACCCTGAGCAGGTAAACAGTTCTGGGAGCGTCATCTCTACCAGGGGATGCTTTGCGTGAGAGCTGTGAACCATCTCCTCTCCGCCATTGTTTGGCTGGGGCGAGGTTGGGAACTCTACTGACCTGCGTGGTAGTAGTCGTCTAGAAGCTGCTGCTGATGATGAACTACGATGCAGCTGCTTGCAATTGCCGCCCCCACCAGCAATAATATTATAATTATTGTTGCTGCAGCTTATTGGCAACAAACCAGAAGTAGCGGCGTAGGCTGCCGAGAATTCCCTGAAAGATGAAGCTTTATTATTACTACTGAATCTTTTCATGGCTATAGATGCTTCCGACATCTATCTCATCTACTACTATATATATTGTATGTGGATAAAATTATATATATATAGCTTAATCAGGCCTCTTAATTGAGTACTGAGTGGACGATACAATTAATACACCAATTAAGCAAGAGGATCTATCGGATATATTATTTATGCTGCTCTGATATGATCGATCTGCCAAAACATATATATAGAAAGATAATTCACTTTTTTTTGGGTCCTAGCTGGCCCGATGATTTTTCAATAGAATATTATTTCATTTAACTTAATTAACAAGTATATAATATATATACTTATCACAAATCAAAGGCATAATTAATAATATTCTGTATACAAGTTTAGCACGTACACGTATAGTAGTGAGTTAGGTAATGTAATCAGTATTATTAAAAGCGCAAGAGTACGTACGTAAAGAAAAGTTTACTACTGGATGCATGGTATATTAATTTAATTACTTCCAACGCAATTCAAGATAATTAACTAAATAAATGGTGGAGAATCTTGACGAATTAATTAATGCAATGATTTGATGGAGCGCAGACTTGTTTCCCTGTGACCCCATATGTTTTATGTGTGTTAAATTTAAACTCTGGTAGATATTCCTTTTTTCTTAATTTTTCAAATAACGCGTATACATACAGATTGGATTCTCGATCTCTTGCGGCAGGCCAGCCACCTAAATAAATAATCTACCTGGCCTGTATAGATAGATGCAAAATTATATGCGAATCGGAGTATTTAATTGCATTCCATGCATATTAATTGGCATGCAGTCCTCCACGGCGCATATATATGAGCTAGAAATAATAAGGACCATGCATACACTTTCTGCCCAGGAAAAAAAAAAAAAAAGGATAGATGTAATAATATAATATAATGTTAAGATTATACGCATTTATATATTGTGTGATTGGGCATCTGTTTTTTTTTTCCCAACTTACAAACATAGCCATGAAATTATTTTCTCTTCAGAAACTCTTTCTCTAAAATCGTTACTTATGCTCTTCCTCCCTTAAAATTTATTGTGTTATTCCTTGTTCAGAACCACTTTGTATATGTCTTCCACAACAGACTAAGTAGAGTTACCCATCCATGCATCCTCACCATCCACGATCTCAAAGGTGATAAACAGCTCTCGGTTGCAACAAATGTGCCTTGTTGCACTGGTGTTGATGAACAACTTGCATGCACTTGTTCGAGTCCATGAGGTTCACCTCATGCACCATGCTAGCCGATGGGATGATCTCGACATCCTTTTGATTGCTTGACTCAACCACATTGGCATGAGAATTCTTATTATTCTTCTTTAGAGCATTGCGATCAAATGATTTGTGGCCCGTCTTGCTACAATTGAAGTATTTTCCATGAAACTTGTTATTGGAAACATTTACTTTACGACAAAGTGTTTGTTTGTCATTCTTGTTATTCTTAGAGCTTTTACCGTGCTCTATAATGTTGGCCTTAACACCACCGGTGACACAGGAACTTTCCCATCATTATTCAAATTGTCCTCCTCAATTAGGAGCCAAATGATCAATTGCTACAGGTTCATGTCATTTCACTTGTGCTTAAGGTAATTTTTGAAATTCTTCAAATATGGAGGCATCAAGTGTATTATAGATGCCACTTGGAAGACTTCACTCATCACCATGCCTTCGTCACGGATCTCATCGAAGATTAGTTGAACTTCTTTGACTTAACTTAGTACGGTCATGGAATCCACCATTTTAAAATAAAAAATTTGATCGACAAAAAATTTCTTTACACCAGCATCCTTGCTTTTATACTCGTGGTTGCAGGAATTCATAGCGCTTTGGTTGTGACATATTTGTTGTATATATCGTAAGCAAAAAAATGATTCCGAAAATCCAAAAGCAAAAAAAAATGATTCCGAAAATCCAAAAGCAAAAAAAAAAAATGAAAGGTTCGAGTTAACAAATTCGAGTCTAATTTAATATGAAATAAAGAACGGAGTAACTAGAAAGATTGTTGTTATAATCACCCTTATTCTAGAGGGATCATCTAGAAAGCTATTTCGTTTTGTCTGTATTCAGACCAAAAGCTGACGTAGATGTTATGGGTAGAATTTTTTGAGAATTTTGTTCAGATCATAGATCTCGTAATTTACTCATTTCCATAAAGGAGCCGAATGAAACCAAAGTTTCATGCTCGGTTTTGAATTAGAGATGCTCAAAATACTGAATCGACGTCGACTATAACCCCTAGCCTTCCAAGCTAACGATGCGGGTTCGATTCCCGCTACCCGCTATCTTTTATATCTATTCTATTTTATATATAGTTATAGTTTCTATTTCTATTAACTATTTAGATTTAACTATTTATATTCACATTAACTGAAACTGATAATAAATAAATAAGAAAATGCCAAAGATACAATTGGTGAGACACTCACACTTTCTTTAAAACCTTATCTGCTACCTTCTAATGTGCTATGAGTGTTGTAGACTAGGGTTTTCAGGATAAAACATATTTGCGATTTAAAAGTTGAACATCAAATGATTAAATCTGGCAAACAATAACAGGGAAGAACACAAGAAATTTTAAAGAAGGTGGAACATAAGATATAGAGAAAGAGTTTTTGGAGAGAACATTTTCTAGCTATGTTCATAAGTTGTTAAAAAGGAGTGTCTCCTTCCAGTAGAGTATCTACTATCTACTTATCCACTTGGGACGAGAACTTGGGTGTCAATTTTCCTTTATATATGCTAAACAACCCTTAACGCTATTGATTCGACCCGACCTTAGCATCTAAGGAATAACAATTCTTAACCACTTTTACTCATTTAGTAAGCTAATCAATTGACCTATTCATTTATTGGGTCTTAACACAATCACAGAAAAAAGTCCGCCACATTTAACTCTTTACTTTTTAGGCCCTCTTTGTAAAATGATCCTCCCACCTATTCAGCTATTCCAACCCCCAATAGCATTACATGAAATAGTAAAGAAAAGCAGATGAAATGAAAATGTCATTGTTTTTACATACATTATTTTAAAAATTCCAACAATTAAGTCTGCTTATATATTCTCTTTAATCAATTATTTTCCTCCGATCCGCCTAGCTAGTCATCCAACAGCATGACAAGAATCAAATCGCTTTGGAGGGTTCTTATTCTGATATACTTTAAGTAAAGGTGAAGAAAATGCTGCGGACTTTTCTCTACGAATTAAAGCAGTTCCCCAAATTATAATAATCATCCAATGACAAGACATATATATAGACTAGCAAGCCTTATTTTCTACGATATGAGTTGTAAAGGAATTTGCATACGGCAATGGAAAATATTATATGAAAATCTTTGAAAGATTTTTTTTTTTTTTTTTTAAGAGAGGATGCATGAAAGCAAAACATATAGCTACAATTTTACGTTATATGAAGTAATAATTTTTTTAATGTATTTCTTAAAGCATGAATAATTCTCCGTGTATATATATATATATATATATATATATATATATATATATATATATATATATATATATATATATGTATATATATATATGTCTGTGTATAGAGGCGGCAGTGGATGTCTTTATCTTTATATTTATATGTATAATTAAATTTCAATCACTTGGACTTGTGTGTCATTAATGTCCAATGAAAAGTTGTGCTTTATAGTACAAGTGATTCCCTTTCATTATTAGTCCGCACCCATTAATTGTTGATGCAAATATCAAATGGCGACCTGACATAGCGACAGATATATGTATGTATATGGTATCTTAGCTGAGATTAAATTCAAAGGAAATTGCGTGCACACACATCTTTCTTTAATTTGGGTGATATATACTCTTCTCCAGTCATACTAAAGCTACCGTCTTTACCCTCCATTTATCCCTACATGTCTTGAATAAGACTTCAATTCACATGTTGCGTTGCATTTGATGTATACATATACTGATATACACGAAGTTGATTATTGTTGAAAAGAATCTCTAGGATGGTATTGTAAGTGGCTATTTTGTGGTACAAATATATGCGGGATCTTTGGGTCAGAAGTGGATTCGGATTTTTCGTAGTAAGACGGAGAGATCAATATATTGTACGCTCAAAACGGATATATTAGGTGAATGAGAAATTGATTCTCAAAAATGACTTATTTGGGTTAGAAAATGGATGTGAAAATGTTTATAAGTAGACTTTATCCCAGATTTGCACCACTATATATATAACAGCCTTTTAAAAAAATATGTTAAATTGTATAATATAGAGATTCTCTCACACACGTAGTCCTATATAAACATCTCTCTCAAAACCCTGGTCATATTCCTAGAACCAAAGGAGCTGAGGTAATTTTTGTGCTTGTTAATTTTTCCACAAATATTATTTTCGTGGTAATATTTCATAACAATTAATTCACATAGTTGTTATCATGTCCAAACTCCTTTCCTTTCTTATCTTGAAGATAGATAATTAGATATAGATGGTTAACAATTAATTTTAATTGTTCAGTTAAAACGTACGTGACTATTAATTGCGGAGTATATTTGAAGTATCTATTATGTGCTGCACTGTTGCATTCTTTTGTTAATGATTAAAATGTCACGTTTAATATATATGCATATTAAGATTAAAATCAACTTAGCTATCAATGATATGCGGACATACCAATTGGCCAGTTAAAATATATTTCATACATTAAAATAGCTGCCTAAATTCATATACACTATCCATGTATTGCTTAATTATATGATTTTTTTTTTTTTTTTTTGGGGGTGCTTCCAACGACTCTTTCACAAGAATATGAATAATTATAAAAACAAGCAAGTTATGGTTAAATAATATGTCAATTAGGGTTTCACATTATATTTATTGAATTTTTATCACTATCACACAAATTAAATAAAATGTACATGCATTATATTTCAGCTTTTTAATTTGTAATATTTTACATCGATGTTTAGATATTATATACTTTGATAAAGTAATAAATAAATGAATTTATATCTATTTTTAAAAAAAAAAAAGTGTTGTGGAAAGTTAAATAAAAATGATAATTAAATGTATATACGCTCGGTTCATGCAATTAATTACGTGAAGTCTTTCGTTTTTTGTTAGATTACGAGATGTCCTAAACACACTCTAACTGCA